TGAAATTGTGCACATTCGCGTTCAAGTTACAAAAACTATAAATTCAAAGTGGCTCAACATTTTTTCCGTGTCCGTATGTGGAACGTCTTCTGCATGTTAAAACGTGTTTTATTTCTTTTTATCGGTCGTTTGCTGCGCAAATACCAAAAATCAACAACTTGTTCGTCCCTGACCTCGTGTGCGTGGTGTTTGACCCGTTACTTTATTTTGGGAAAAATCAATATGGCTTTTATACGCGATCATATATAAACGTGCCCATGGCCAGGTGGTCGTTGGTCTTCTGTATCGACGACAAAAGACAAAATCAGAATGACAAACCAAATGACGCTCAACTGTAGCCGCCGTGACCATCGTTTGTGTTATGATTGCGTCGGATGTTACGTTGCGCCATCTAGCGACAAAATCGATGACTAGAACCGTGTAGTTCAATTTCATGGCTCACAGAATGCGCTGAGGGTGTTTTTAAATAAAATATGCAATCATTATAATATATGCCAAGTTATTTTTCCGTTTATTGATATTTAACAAGATAAAGCGTAAGCAATATTTTAGATCGTATATGGACTTCTTACCATTGGGCGTTCGTGTCAACAGTAAAAATGAAACGTGCTAAAGTATTTCTCTATACTATCAGTATTCAGTGATAACCTTGGTATCGCGATTTTCGACTAAAATTTAAACATATTTTAATGAAAAACAATTCGAATTAATCGTTCGTAGTCAACTTGAGAAGGTCATTGGATATACCGGCCGGTGACCTTAATGCCTGTGTGTTTCTCGACCATTGGGTCAACAGCAGCTGTTTGCTGTTATTGGCCCGGTGTTCATATACTAATTACGTTTTTATTATTAATCATCGGTCGTTTAATTGATAAACACGGGAAGTGAGTCTAAAAGAATTCGATAAAATGTAATAGTCGTAAAAAAATGCATGTTTTAACTGCTCACAATGATTGTTAATATTGACAGACTTTTAACGACGCGTATAAACAATAATAATGACCTAGTCGGTTTTCTATTCCTTTTTTTTATTTCAGTGTTTTGTCTAATAATAAAATCACTTGTTGTATTCACAAAGTTGTTATTTTTACTTGAGTTTTTCGTCCTCGGTCGCTCCCGAGTCAAATCAACCTGACGGTCCGTGACAACCGAAAATAATATGTAGTTTTTTATGTGTACGCATTTTTACTCTTTTAGACAAAAGCAAAATCCCACAACAAATGACAGCAGCAGCAGCAGCAGACGAAGAATAATTATTTTCTCACTCTGGTCGTCGTCATCACGGTCGTTACGACATTGATTTTCACTGAATTATTTATTCTTTATGTTTTTTTTGCTCTAAAAATACACTTTGATTGTCTGTTTTTCGTAGGATTTTCAAGGACGTATTAGGATGTATCGAGATCTTTTTAGTGGTCGTATTTACCTCACGTGTATTATTACACTGAAGTCAGTAAATGCTTATAAAAAGTTGTCTCCAGCGTGACGTGTGTGCGCCTAAAAATAATATTTTGCCATCTTTGTAAAAACAAAAAAAAAAAAATTATTTTCAAAGAAATATCGTTTTGAGTTGGACGAAAAATTAATTGGCGGTTAACGAAACTGAAGTGGTGGTTATGTTGTGTGTGTTTACCGGCTTGTGACGACGAGGATGACTATTCTAAAACACCGTGAGAAATGGCGGTCAAATGGAATAATGGAAAAATTCGAATTCGAATAATATTCATAAAGCGAAAAAAAATACAAAATAAATAATCATGTCGCATACAAGCAAAATGCGCATGCGCGTCAAACGAATGGCATACAAATAATAACAGGTGATGTGCCAGCGATCCTTGTTGTGGTGTTTGTATGTAACGCCCAGAGCCTAATAATATTTTCACGTTTAGTCATCGGTGTGGTGGCCTTGGCTTATCCGATTTTACGTTGGCTTCCAGGAACTGCCAAACGACGTCCGTCCACTGGCGACTAATTACTCAAAGGGGGCACTCTTTTTTTATTGTTATCACCGAGTGGTATTCTATCAGCGGCACCTGTAGCTTTTCATCGTGATGGCAAGTAAAACCTTTTTATTGTTTACACCGAGTAAACGGAAAACTGAATCTCCCGCACGACAAAGAACAACAGATAATGTCTTGATACATTGTAAAGATGATCGGTGACGGTGCCCCCTCAGTTGATGGAAACATTGTGGCCTCGGGGACATAGCGGTGATTTCGCGTCTCTATTGTGCCAATATTAATATTGATTTCGTGGTTACTTTGGTCAACCTGCATCGGATATAATCGTGTGTACACCGGTAATATTCCGTTTTAACTTCGTTAATTATGCAACGCCCGAAACATTGCCCCCTCCCCCATTCTTGGACAACAATAAGAATGCAGCTACCCCGTGTAATATTATTTCAATCCTGACAGTTTTCGAGTGCTAAATACATGTACACTGACTTATTTATTACCCTTGTCCGTAAGTCTTCTTGAAATTATATTGTCGACTGGAAATTATGTTTTCATCGTGTAACGGACACGTTCGATATTCCAATTATTATCAACGCTCTCGGGACCGAGAGAATCGCAAAAACATTTTACCCGTGTTTTAATTAAAGCCTTTGGAAATTATACATTTATTTATACACGATGTGAATGAGAAAATAATGAATTACGGGCACGCGCTCAACTGCTTAAACGACGGTTTTTTTAAGGCATGTGAATTTAAAACAAGTAAATTATGTTTCCTGTTATCAAATATTGTCCATTGTGCGTTGTAAACCTTTAAACGATTGTATGAGGCCGGTTAGTGGCACGTAAACAAAACGCGTACATAATGGGAACATCTTTCGGCGCATATTTAATTTTTATGAATTAAGATATTTCCATGGAGATCGTTTAATTAATTCCGTTTCGACTAAACGATATTTATTTATGCCGAGTACACACGTGTACAATTTTATTCTGATCATTGTGCGGAATGAACAGTCGACTCTGAAATAATTATGTGTTTTTTTCTGCACTCGTGTTTACATGGTGCGGGCCCGTGAAGGTTATCGCTTTTTGATTTTTTCACGTGCGCGCGCCTATTTGTTATTATAACACACTGCAGCCTTCTGTTGCGTTCTCCGTCGTCTAGTTGTGTAGGATCCGTAAAAAACATAGTAAGGAAAATCAGTACGTATCTAAACTGTGCTATCTGACGGAAATCTTGTGTAACAATGACAGAGTTGGTATTATTGTTATTATAACACGTCAACGCATCTGTGACATGCAGCCGGCGTTGATGACGAGAAAAATAAGTAAAAGGAAAGGAAGCAAATCGGTGGACAACCAATATTTTAACGATACGATTTGATCAGATAGGAAACCGCAGGTGGTTATGTTTTAGAACAATAAAATCGCAGTGACAATTGTCGACCGGCAACGGCCGTCGTTTTTTGTTAATAAGGCAAAATATAAAATTGCTACGATTTGGTCTTGCGCGTGTGCACCGAGCAGTAGTCGAATTAATATACGCCGTCAAGCAAGAAGAACCATTGGTAATTATTTTCTGCCATTTCCTGTGTACATTAATTAGTCAGTGGTTTTTATTTGCGCTGTGGTTTTGGACAAAATATACAATTGTTGTTATTATGCGAGTACAAACTGCACTGTGTGTGTGTGTGTGCATTTAATGTGGGAAAATACATGTTTGAGGTTAAAGCAATACTGCTCGTGTATTTGTTTTACGACAGTTGATGGAGACCGACATGTGTATTTTTTTTTCCTTAAGACCTAGATCGCTCATGTCGGATTGCCCGTGTAGTTGGCACGTCGTCGTCTGACTTGGTAATCTTCATCCCTCGCCCCGTCGACTCACTGTTTCGTTCAGTATAACGTAAAACTATGAAATTAGATCGTTAAAAAAACTGCTTGATATTACTATTCTGTGCGCGATTTGCCCCGTCCTTCCTCCTCCTTTTCGATAAAACACCAGTTTGTTTTAATGTTCGACTTAATGTCTATACACTTGGCTGCTGTAGTTGCTCGTGCTGACGTCGTCGACTTCACTAGGGTACGACGGTAATAGTGCTACCTTTTACGATGGCTGTTACTTTAGCATGTGGTCTGGACGGCCAATGGAAGAAAAAATGCCTAGAATAACTAAAAAAGGGAAATATTCAACTGATACGTCTTGGTCGTACGTATTACGCGTTGTTATTAACGTTAATTTCTCCGTCTCTTTTCTCGTTCGTCATCGCGTCTGGATAACATATTCTTTAGGCAAAGACGCAAAATCAAACTGGTTCTCTGGGAGCTGCTCGGTACGTGTACCTGTTGTCGTGAATCATCGGACGCGCAACGTGAAATGGCTTTAACGAGTTTTATTCATCACGTGTGTTAGTACACCGCCCGTAGTTGTTGAAGACGGCGGTAACAAAAAAATAACGCGTCTAAGGGTTGAGAACACCGAAGAGAGGGTTGTGCTATGCAACACCTGCTGCTGCCGCCGCCGCGTATACCTTGTGCACTCGGCAGAGGAGGGTGTAGAGGCTGTCGGCTTTTCACTCTTAACCCCGTGTGTGTACGCATTAAAATCCTCAACGGGTATCTTTGTGACCGGGTTGAACTCCTTGTCCCGTCATCGGTATTTTAAAAGTAAGGGGATCGCCTTCGCAGCCGAAATTCTTTCGGTAAAGAACCAGAATCGGATAAAAAAAACCTGAAAATCACCACCTCCGTCGCTACCGACCTAATATGCTATCTCGCGTCATACCCGCATCTTTACGTACAATGTTATACAAAAGCCGTGTTAGTCACGGAGGTTTGAAAGAAAAATTGACCATTAATCATCGAAAGTACGTTCTATTGAAATTAGTGTAACCCGTTCGAAAATTAATCAGCTTATCTTAAACCTCGTAATTTTTACATTTAATTTTACAGGTAATCAATCCCTTTTACCGTATTTTATCATAATAATCGTTTTTTTTTTTTTTTTTTATTAATTAAAAAAGATAAAGACATTATCCTGCGGGCAGTCGTCGAGTATTTGAAAATACATTTGGATGTTTTATAATTTTTGGTTTCGACCGGCTGGTTTTTACTGTCGGACAGGTCGTCGTATGGATTACGGTAATGGACCCGAGTAAGGGATTACACGTTATTATCGATAGACGCGATTGGACGCTGTCTGTGCATTGCAGCTGTTCCCGGCGTGTTCTGCGAGGAAACGTAATGGAAAGCGCGTCGGATACGACGGCGCCACGCAGTGCGGTAATAATGATGATAACAATAATAATATTAAAACTGATAGTGTTGAGTTAATGCGCAGGAGAGAGTACTTTCACTGTGCGGTCCGGAGCAGCGAAAAAATAATGGTGGCCGGCGAACGCATGTGTAATATTGCGTAATAGGAGCATTTTTGTTTTTTCTATCCACTTGGAGCGCGAGGATGCGTAAGCTCGACCAACGCCTCTAAAAGGCCTAAGAAGGAGTGATAAGAGGAGGACGATGCGGGGGATACGTTGGCCCTGAACTTATCCCCACTCGGCGGCGGCTGCGCCGCTCGCGTTGTGTATTGATATCGGAGGCCAATGCCGCCACCGCCGCCGCCCGTCACCTCACTCTTCTTGTACTAGTGGCCGCCCGTCGGACGTCGCACTCTCTCTTACCTGCTGCTCGGCCAGTTCAAGTTCACCGTTCCGTCAGTGTCATCTCGCTACACGCGTTCAAGTCTCTCCTGAATCTCTGGCGTGTCGTCATTGTCCGGCGGCGTTTTCGGTGATTTTTATTTTCGCTTGTGTATTACGGACCATTTATTTTGAGCTCATCAAGTGTTGGCCGTTCATTGAGTGTGTTTTCGCGTCATTTGTATTGTTGAATTGTACTCGGATCAGTGTCGTCTTTGGTACTTACTCGTTTTCGTTTTAATAAGGTAAAACAATATTATTTTTTACTGTCACTCACCACTAACTCTTCTTAGACGTGCAGGCTGTCGTCGATAATTCAAATATTTACATGGCGCATTTCGACACAAACTTCTGTGTTTACTACTAACGATTGGGGTAACAATTGAAAGTCTCCTCGTACGTGTCCTAATGACTAATATTTCGTCTAAAAAATCTATGAACCGTTAAAGGTCAATGTTGTTATCACTTCGGTTACTGATAAGAGAACATTTCAAAATTAGCTGTTGTCTCTGAAAAAAATTAATACGGGTACATTGTTGTTTTATTATGGCCTCGCGTTTGATTCACAAACGAGAAATCGCTACCGTTAATTGGACGTACAGAAATATGCTCTGGATACACACAAGGGTATGTACTAATTTGTACACTTTTAATAATCGAACAAATATTTTTGTCGGTCATGTGGTACTCGATAAATGACTATCAATTAAATTCGGTTTCATATTTTAAACAGACGCGCTCGTCTGATTGTATGAATTACGTTCCCATTGAATTCTTCTTAATTAACAAATAATTCGATAATTAAATGTTACTAATATATTTGCCCGAAATCTATATGCGCAATTAAAGATTACAATGAGCGGAATTATAAATGGTTTTGTATCAATTGAATACTAATTGTATAGGTGAAGTTTTTCGACGACAGCCTTTATTGAAAAGGTTATGATGTGTATGTTTTCATTTATAAAAAAGTAGTTTTCCTTGCGTTGATGATCTAGCCGTTATGTGTGATGTTCGATTAATGGCACGATAAAAAAACAACAAATTATAAGATAGTAGAAGGAGGTGCATTAACCTTGCCGATGCCCGCATTAACGTTGCACGAAAAACATTAGCCGAAAATACTCTCAACAATCACTCGAAATAGCTAATTTAGGTACATTAATTTCTGTGCGTGTGTCTTATATAAACCTATTATAGACAGGTCCGATACAATAACAGTGTGCAAGACCGTGTAGTAGTACAAGTATTTTTTTTTTTTAATGGACTCGTACGTCATAATATGTTGTTTGTGGAGCTCCTTGAAAATTGTCGACTTTAAGTCCCTATCGCGTCCGACGCGCTAGGAATGTCGTTTTTAATGGATTTTTCGGTTAAAACCGACATGATATGACACACGGACCGTAATGTTAACGACCTTTTATGTTTTACGAATAAACAAAAACAACTTAGCCTAATGGATTTCATCAAGTACAGAAATTTAGTCCGAAAAACATTAGATAGATTTCGCATAGCTCACAGAAGATTACATATTTTTGGCGCCCCGTCGTTGGCATCGTCCGAAATTTCGGTGGGTACGTCTTACCGTCTGCGTAGTAGGTGTTGTTTATTTTACTTATCTCGGTGAGTGAGGGGGGGGGCCCAACCACACGGATAATTATTGTCGGCTTGACATCTGCATAATATATCGTGCGATGAGAAAAAAAACCGTGTAGTGATCGACGAGTAGTCGGTGATGGAACACAAAGGGTTCTATTGTGCGTCCAATGACGTCACTTTATTAAATCGCTGTCGGTTCTTAATAGCAATAAGAATAAAAAAGACGTATGAATAGAAAATCGAATGTAAGAAATATATTGTAAACAATGTTTTACTCCCCTCCGAGTTGCCAATGTGTAACCCGTAGAAACGCACACAGAAACGGCCGTGAAACGCATTAAAGAGTTAGTGGTGATTATTACTCGCCGAGATTCAAAAGTAGGTGTTTACAGCAAAGCAGTTAATATCGCTCGACGAAACTTGGTTGGTCTGTTGTCCACATGTGATCCGAGCGAGACGAAAATGTTGAGGTTGGCGTCCCAGAACGACGGGGCCATGACGTCTTCGTCGGAGGTCACGTCGTCTTCGGCCGCCGCGGGGTTCTCCGCGACCAGCATGTTCATTAATGCGTTTTTCAACACCAATAGTAGCCCCATGACGAGGGAAAGTTTCGAGTTCCTGCAGGAGCTGGACGACAGCTTCGGCGAACAACCTTATCACCATCACCACCATTACAGTCACGGTGGCCAACCGCCGCATCAGCAACATCAAATGCCGCACGACACGTCCATCGTCAATCGATTCATGGCGCACGCTTCTGTGCCCATGACAACAGGTAAACGTCGCCGCGACCGGGTTATAACAGTTGTGTTGTTTTTATGATGTAATATGATAATTAAATGTTGCGCATAATCCGTACGTCATTGAAAGAGCTGTTGACCGCTTTGTGTGGGATCACGGTCACGAGTGGCACAACGACCGGTCCGATTTGTTCGCCCACGGTAATGGCCCACAGACACAATAACCGAAAGCGCAATGAAATTTCCGTTCGGGAATCGAAAGCCGACGAGCATTGCCACGTGACATTTGCGCAGCAGTTGTAATGTAATCGTCGATTACACACTCGAATTTCTGGCGATCGCCTACGAGCAGTGACGACGTCAGGCTTTAGGCGTAATCGTTGCTGCCTTTTGCGTCTTAGCGAAAACAACGCTGCTCAATGGAATCCGTTTCCACCTCGAACGGCAGTGCTCTCCGTGTTAATAACCGGGGGACGCCAGCGTACAGTTGTCACCATATTAGACGCGTCATCATTTTATTGGCGCGCGTTCCGAACGTGTCGGCTCGATTACCATCGAGTATGGTCTGGCGATCCATTTGAAATGGAGCGCACAACGACTTCGGTTACCGCCTCGTGTAATTTCGGACGCAAGTTGATCCGCAAATTGTTGACGGTTATTAGATAAACATAGACAAACACTGCTAATCGAGGCGCACATACGGTAATGACGACTACATGTAAAAACTGGTCTTTTGTCCAACGGTGGCGTATGTGAGGTCGTTGTTTGGTGAGGCGCCAAAAACGCCTCGACATTTCTCTGCACGTACGCGCCACTTATTCAGACTTCCTCCCGTCAATGTCGTAAATTTATACAATATATTATTATTTATTCTACTCCGTCGTGCGCGTCCCAACGCGGCAAGTCCACCCGACGTCTACCGTTATATCGTTTATTTTTTGATACGCTGCAATGTGTCGTCCCGAGCACTTCCGATCGATTATCTACAAAAACAACACTATTATAATGTGTCGCACACACCGGCGATGTCATCCGGTTTGTGCACTTTAGTGGCAAATTTATAAAAAAAAATTATATACTAATTTATTATTCTGTCGAAAAGCAAATATCAACGTCCGCCTACGCTTTTTCGGTACAAATGGGATCTAAAACCAGTGCATTGTGAATCGCTCGTAAATGGTTTATCGCCGTTTGATGTCACCATCCAAAATTATCATCCGGTTAACGCGTTCAAACAAACGAACTAATGCCGACGACCGTAAAACGGTGGCGCTTATTTTCATTAAAAGTCAAATGCTATTGCGCGCATTGTTGTTTTCCTCTGCCGGAATCGCGTTTAAGGTCGAAAGTCGACTTTTTTTTACTATTCCGTCTCTCATTGTATTCCGTTTTATTTGCATAGTTATATCGTGTCCGACGCTGTGGAAAAATGAAATGCGTGTAATGTCCAGACGAGTATCGTCGACATTGTGTTGTCGGTGCGGAAATCGGTAAGTCGCCTCCTCTCGACATTACCAGACGATTGACATTGAAGAATCTGGCTGACGTCTGGTTTGTCATAAATACATTATGCCGCCCCGTCTGTCTATCTCTCCGAGAGCCATTGCAAAGCAACTCGACGATAAATAAATCGGAAAAAGCGACCGCTTTTTTCTGCACACTTCGTTATATGCTTTGCGTACGTTTTTTTTGCTTCGACAAGATTTTTGCCGTTTAATAACTATCGTGTTGTGTAATTGTCTCACGCTCGTTACTCCAACTATCAATTGTTTTTTTATTCGCCATAATATTCATACACGGCAAAATAAATATCGCTCGTTTACAATACCTCGTTCTCACCAAAACAATACTGCCGGCACACAGTCCATCTGACCGTGGCAGCAATGCGTGTACTTAACACAGTGAAATGGTAATGTGGAGGAGGAATGAACCTTGTCCGGGAGAACACGCGATTGTGCACCGAACGCTCTCATAAACAATAATTACAACGTGTAATCCCAAAGTAGCCGCATAATAACACGTCTCGGTAGATTTGATTTGCATTTTGCGCCGAAGGAAACCTCGACCAGATCTCCTTGATCCTCCGTGCACTTTTCCACACGAAACTGAAAAAAAACGTTGTTCAATTATTGTGCCGGCTAACGAATGCCGCCATCGCATCGCATCGCGTACAAACATCTCGTTTTCGGTTTCCGACGTTCTTCGTTCAGGTTTGTTATATCTAGACCGCACAATGCACATCTTCTTCGCGGTCGCCGCCGATTCCACGACCTTCATGGGCTGTGAGTAATTTTTTTTATTCGTACGCATTATGTTTATATTGTTTTTTGTCTCCGTTCCGGCCGTCGACCACACAGATTGGCTGTGCGCTGTTCCGCCACAAGTCTGCACTTTGCGTATAAAATCCTAGCGCGTTATCGAAACAGCGACATGGCCAGTGACGTCATCGGCCGGTTTCCGGTGTCCACTTTTGTTTTTTTTTTCCTCGTAAAGTTTTGCACGAGAACATATCAACCGGTCGGACGACGTCAACCCGATCGCGGAAAATTATTCCTCCTCGTCGTCTGACCGATTGTAGTGCGTTACATAATAACATTTACCGGGTACACTCAGCTTTTCATGATGTGCTCGGCGACGTCCACACACAATGCAACCGCTAACCGGTTTCGGTTCCTAGAATTCTCTTCTCCGCTGAACACTCTCGCGCGCCCGTACCACATGATATTGTCTTCGTATTGGCGGCCATCTCTCACGAGTACAACAATATGACTGTGCTGTTATTTCGTTCCCGCGGCGCTGGCCCGACAACAGACTCGATGTAACGTTCCGACAAATTTCGGTCGACGTGTGTGTGTTTACATCGTGGCGAAGACAAACGAATCGCGTGAAATGGAAACATAATAGCGAGATGAGTATATAACGCGCTCCTGGGGCGAAATTACGCCGATTTTTCGCGAGTAATTCACTGTTGATCGGTCCCGTATCTGTTTAGTAGGTTTTTCCATTCCGAATGAGACGCGTAGGATGTTGAGTTTTGATGATATTTATTTTAACAATGTTTTATCCTCTGCCAATGCTCAGTGTGGTGTATGATTTCTTCGGACAGTATTCTCTATGCCAGCAAATTACGACGTTTACAACGTCCAAGTGATAAGAGTCTGTACTTGCGAACAGACAAATAATATAATTGACTATTATTACACTCGCTATGACGTGACCGTAGTGGTGGTGGCGGCGGCGGCTGATCACCGGCGGGACGCCAGGTGGAGAGTGGTGTCGGAATGCCCATAAATCTGTCGGTCTTAAAGATCCTTTTAATATATTCCAACGTTTGTGCGACGAGACTCATCTGCTGGTGTGTGCGTATAATTGGACGATATATTTTTAGTCGGGACGGAGAGAGTATTTTTTTATTATGTAAATGTGTCTACGTTAGTGTGTTGTGGTGGCGAATGGAAGTCGTAAGAAAATCTGCGTTGGGTTAGGTCAGGAGCAAAAAAAAAAAATGTTAGTCGGCATTTATTACAGCAAACGTACACACACACGTGAACAATTAATCTCTCTTACGTATGTGTTTTTTATGTCCCAATTGACGTTCGTTTGTTGGCGGCCGCTCGTGTTTTATTATTTCTCTTTTAGAATTTCCATTATTACTATAAGATCGACCGCATTGCTAAACGTGCACCGGTTGTCGTCCTTGAATCTTCGGTTTTTTATTTCTTGCGATCTCAGCAATTTCCTCCGGTTTCTGCGACTCTACACATGTATATTATCGGCGTGTACGAGTCCGTCCGGTTCGCTCTGTACGACGCTATAATTTCATACCTATTATGTGTTATTATTGTTTATCATCATTGTTGTTGCTAATACCCGTTCGACGGCCGGGCGGACGTTAACGATGTAAGCCTCCCCGAAAAAATCCAACGGCCTCCTATCGTGACGAATCGCCGACAATATTTTTCAAATTGAACGCACGTCATAATTATTTGATTGCTATTAACTATTTCGTATAGGCGTTGCTTGACGACACGCTGCCGAGCGTTTTATTAACACAAACAACGCCTGTGTCTTGTGCCGCATATGGTTACCGGCGTAATTAATAAAGCGAAGAAACACACGACTACTACGATGACGTGGTCGGGGTGCGGCCGTCAGTATAGTGTCTTTAATGTCGGGCCGTTCATAAAAAATAATCGGAGGCAAAAACGTGACAGGCCGCGTACTCTCAAGGTCACCACAATGTCCATTTGGCCCCGTTTGTCCCGAAACAGGTTTTCGGGTTGTTTACTTCCTGTGCGCAGGTGGCCAGGGGCTCGTGGCTCCATCGCACAACGCGCGCGTCACCACAGCGGTAACGCGCTATGCGTTTCCAACTTGTGTTTATTTTTGTTTGTTTTTTACAGTCAAAGAGGAGCTGTCACCACCCAACAGTCTGTCCGGAGGAAGCAGTCATTCCGAGGGACTGAAAAAGAAGAAAATCAGCAATGCCCCCATAACCGGTAGCGGAAACGTGGCCGGGGGCGGTGGTATGAATTCCGCAGTCGCCGGCGGCGTGCTCAACAACCGGCCGCCCGAAGAATTGTGTCTGGTGTGCGGCGACAGATCGTCCGGTTACCACTACAACGCGCTCACTTGCGAGGGATGCAAAGGCTTCTTCCGGAGGAGCATCACCAAGAACGCCGTGTACCAGTGCAAGTACGGCAACAACTGCGAGATAGACATGTACATGAGGCGGAAGTGCCAAGAGTGTAGGCTGAAAAAATGCCTGACCGTCGGCATGAGGCCGGAATGTAAGCAAATTTTGTTATTTTTTTACTCACTCTATTTTTGTTGTTTATATGGAAACCAGTTTTTTTTTCACGGTCACGACAATGCCAAAACGCGCAGTGATCGCCATCCACGCTGCTCATTATTAAACGAAAGTAAAAACGGGTGTGGTTTTTCAACGCGCGTTGCAAAAATTTACAAATAGTAAACGATTATGTTATTCCGCAGAAGAATTTGTTTGGTCGGCAATTAAAGACACCCGCGGTTTTTTTATCATTCTCACTGTCCTCTACGTGTATCGTATCATCGCCACGTAGGTACCCACGCCCCCGGTTTTGTTTATTATTAATTATTTTTTATGCATATCGCCCACCCGACACATTCGTTTCGCGCAGTCAATACACTTTGTGTGTCACGCCCCAACCAAATCCGTTTCCCTGGAATAATAATAAAACGCAATATTTATTTCTTCATAAACTTAAATTAACTCCTTTTCGTGTAACGTCGTTATTATTTTTTATTACGGTCTCACGGTCACAACCACGCCGTGTGTACGACGGCCGGTCGAGATATGCTCAAGAATTTCTGAATTTCGCCACAAAGTCACGGCGACGGGGTGTTTCCGGGCACGCGATTTTTTTTGTCTTCAACCGCTAGTTTGAATTTTTGCTGGGGCCTTTAAACTTTGCTTAGCCTCATAGTTCAGTTGGAAGTGGTGCAACCCTTTGGCGTTTATCGGTCACGCTTTTCTCGTCTATTCCGAGGGCGGTACACTCCCGACTGTCGTTGGCGATTAGACTCGTTGAATTATATATGTAATGTACGTGTTAACTCTTACAATTTAAACGGTCTGTGGGCTAAGCCGACTGACAGAAAATCGAACTTGACCAAATGTACAACCTTGACTGTACTATTACCACCGCGTTTAAAGTTGGTCATTGTTGCTTTGATACTTCGCTTTCCAAAACAGGTGCGACGACCTTTTTCGCCAACACTTAATAGTTTCTATTATTATGCGATCGATGTTGCGTGTTTCGCGTGCGTAAGGTCGTGGCCTTTATCGCCTTATTTTTTTTACTGTGTATTTTTTACGTGTATCGAATTGTATCTGTGCGATGATTTTTGGAGTGTGTCTAAATAATAAATGAATTGCTGTGAACGTAAAAGTTAAACCTTTCGGGGTATTATTCTATTGCGGTTTTGTTGTTATAAAAATGAGCGCTATCCAGTCAAAGACCTCTTGAAGGTCTCGTGACATTGTTATCTGTTATCATTGTTAGCATAAGATACGGTTTTTCCTATCTCGTGTCTGTGTACGCGGAAATTAATTTCAGAATATTTTCAACTACCCAATTTACACGTTAATATATGTTGAGGTATTAAAAAATATGCCTTATGAACCACTTTTGATCAGTATTGATTTCATATCGTTTAAATTCAAATTGTTAATGCGTTTTTAAATAGCACCGTTCCAAATACATTAAGTCAATATAGAATATTTTTGTTTTTAAGCTAAATTTTAATAAGATGCCATTGACTTTTAAATAAAATTCAAGTACACTATGAATAATGCTGTTACTACAGAAAATTCGATGTCTCGTCAATTTTCAATTACCAACGAAAATAACAATATTTTCGTCATCGCTGTTACGGTCTCTATCAGTTTTGTTTTATAATAACTCAATGTTTTTAATCCATCACCGCATGTCATCAGATGTAACGCGACGTCAAGTAGATACTCACTTACAAATAATAATAATGTAATTTACTTTCAGGCGTTGTACCAGAAGTTCAATGTGCGGTTAAGAGAAAGGAGAAAAAAGCTCAAAGAGAAAAAGACAAACCCAATTCTACTACCACAGAAGTTTCTCCTGAATGTATCAAAATTGAACCTACAGAGATGAAGGTAAACAAAATTCTCGAGAAAAATACCTGTCAACACCTTCAATATTCTTATGTTTCTGATTTTAGATTGAATGTGGTGAGCCCATGGTGATTGGCGGCACACCTTTAACTCCCGTTCCCTATCCCGAAGTGAAACCACTGAGTTCCGAACAAAAAGAACTTATTCATCGACTGGTCTATTTCCAGGACCAATACGAGGCACCTAGTGAAAAGGATCTGAAACGATTATCAATTAATGTAATTGTTAAATTTTTTTATTTTTATATGGAATACTAATTTGCATTTTTATATTTCATTTAGTATCCTGAGGAATTGGACAAGGAGAAACAAAGCGATTCGACATATAGGATCATAACTGAAATGACTATTCTCACAGTACAACTAATAGTTGAATTTGCAAAAAGGTTACCAGGCTTTGACAAACTTGTCAGAGAAGATCAAATTACCTTACTCAAGGTAATTATTTAATTTTGTTAATTTTGTTAATATTATTATTATTTGAAAATTTGATAATTTTATCACAATTTTCTATTACTTTCTCTAGGCTTGCTCAAGTGAAGCAATGATGTTCAGAGTTGCCAGAAAGTACGATATTACCACTGACTCAATCGTGTTTGCTAATAATCAACCATTCTCAGCGGATGCTTACTCAAAAGCCGGACTTGGTGATGCTGTTGAAAATCAACTATCATTCAGTCGTTTTATGTACAAGATGAAAGTTGACAATGCTGAGTATGCTCTTTTGACAGCTATAGTAATATTTTCAAGTAAGTAATCGCAGTTAATTTTGTAGTGTATCAATTGGATCGATGTTAATATAATGTATTTTATTTGTACTCCAACAGATAGACCAAATCTTTTGGATGGTTGGAAGGTAGAAAAAATTCAAGAGATTTATCTGGAATCTCTAAAAGCTTACGTTGACAACAGAGATCGTGAGACAGCGACTGTGCGTTATGCGCGCTTATTGTCTGTCTTAACTGAATTACGTACGTTGGGCAATGAAAACTCTGAACTATGTATGACCCTGAAATTAAAAAACAGAGTTGTACCACCATTCTTGGCCGAAATATGGGATGTCATGCCATAGTGATAAATTCCAGCTTGTACAGCAGTTACCTTGTACCCAGGCAATCAATTACTTGTATTGCCTGGTAATTATTTTGAAGACTGTGAACACTCTCGGCTTACTACTACAGATAAAAAGTAGACTAAAAGAATACAAAATAATTAAAATTAACTATTTGTATTATTTTTTAAAGACTATTGATATTAAGTTTTACTGACCTAGTAAGATAATGGACAAAACAAATGATTAATCGTCATACGCATGTCAGATATTATAATTTGTATGTTAGTCTTAAACTTAAATATATTTGCTTCATAGTGTTTGAATTAATGAATTGATGGGATATTATGATTGTTATTAAACCTAAGAATGATGGATTAATAAATAGCGTCCCATTTTTGTTTTTGCTTGGTCGTTCACTCTTCAAGTCTACACTTGAAAATGTAGTTATTTAATAAAAATAGGGTGCTATAAATTTTTTCCAAATATTCTTGTGTGGTTCCTGAGACTGTATTGTTTTGTACCTGTGCGTTGGATGTTTTTTATTTATGAAAATGTTTATCATAATAAGCAAATTAATTTTATTATTAACAAATTTATATATATTTTTTCTAAGAAATGTAAGAAACATCATTTCTATTTGCAAAAGCTGTGATATTAGTTATTATTATATAAGTATATTATAAAATAAATATGTGTATACTAACAGCATCTTTTAGATTTATATAAATATATTTATGTGTACATGTAATAAACGTTTTTATTTTAAACGTATCAATTATAGGTTCAGGGCTTTAGGTAAAATGGCACGTGTCTTTTTTTTTTTTATGTACATAAGTTTAATATTAATTTTTTTATTACTTAATATTGTTATGCTTTCAAACCCTAAATAAGCAATTCTGTTGAAAGAAAGTATTTTTAGCAAGTGTTTTTAATTTAAAGCAATTATACCTTATTATTATTTAGATGAAATTTCCTTTAAAAAATTTTATTATGTTAAAAACAAAACTAAAATTTCAGATAGACAAATATACCAATTATTGTAATTTGTGTGTGTTTATTTGTGTATTGAGATGAAGACTGTAAACATCAACGTTTAAATATTTATATTATTATTACTTTATTACCTTTTTTGTTTTTTTTTTTTTATTAGACCAATTGTCTTCTGATTACTTTTCTGTCATTATTTGGAATCAATAAGTAGTACATTCATTAAATTTATATAAGTGTCTATCTGTTTTAATAAAATAAAACTATTTTAAAATAAATCAAAATAAAAAAACACACTAAATAAAAATACAACCAAAAATCAAAGATGTACTTTTTTTAAACAAAACACTACATTAAATAAATATTATCGATTACCATTTAAATTTTTCGCAGATAATAAAAAACAGTAAAGAAAATATGAAAGTGTTATAAATTTTCTTTAGGGACTTGTACGAAATTAATTTAATATTATTTATTATTTTATTTCCTTTGTTTTATAGACATCTATTTTAAGTAATTTTGTTAAAATAATTTATATTAGGTGATTTTATGTAAAAATCCCGAATTAATATTATTGGAGAGATATTAAAATAAGAAATGATGTTTTTTACATTAGATCTACTGCAGTTATGTGCTTCAATATATCCAAAGGATAGGATTTCACTCATAAACACAAAAATGCCGCCCACTTATCAGTTTTAACTCAACTATTATTAAACTATTATGTACATTTATAAATATGCATGTGCAAATGTTAATTTTTAAGATATTTGAGTATAAAATTGTACTATAAATAATTTTGTCAAGAGTTTTAAATTTACCATTAAACATGATCTTGTTCTTTTTTAGATTTAAGAATAATATAATGTCTTAAAATATTGTTTTGACCATAGAAAATATAAGTATCCAATGTTATTAATAGATATATTTGTTACACTCGATACTTTCCTCATGTGTAGTAAGATACCATTATGTATCTCTGTAAAAATAAATAAGAATATAAATAGTTTATTAAACAGTTCAATTGTTACCTAATGGAAACAAATTAGAAATATGTGCTATATGACATAGAATATTTATATGTTTATATAAGTAAACTACCTTTTAGTAAAGTTTGAAGGTGTATAATCAGTGTTTTTAAAGGAATGAGTAAAAATAATTAAACTAGTTACCAATAATACCTCTAATAATAGCAACGTAAGACCACTTGTCTACTAATTGTATTTTCTCAATCTGACATATTGTATAATATTTCTATGTTATAAATTCAACTATCTATTACTTGTTTAAATATTCTATTTTTCAATAATGTTATAGACGCTACTAAAAAATACAAATTAATTAAACCACTTATATGATACAGTTGAAATATATCAACAATTATCATGCGTTTATTTCAATTTTGGACTCTTTTTCATGAATTTTATAGACAGTTTTATATCACTGCCATCGTTTTTATTTTCATATTGTTATACTTAAAAAATATTTTAAATCATAATCCATTGAGTCAGCAAAATTTACTCAATCCATTTTTTTTTTTTTTTTGATATAAATATTAAAATATTACCAAATAAGAATTATTAGCATACGTCCAAGAATAGTATTTAAAAGTACTAATAAATTATCTTGATAAATTTTTTACAAAATATAAGTAGGTTCTTTGAATTGCTTTCACAAAAACGTTTTAGTAGTAATATTAAGTATCAAAACCTAATATTACATTATTTATTTGTAGGTGTATTTCATAATTTCATACAGCAAAACATATTTGTACTTTTTTTAGATTATATATATAAAACAAAAAAAATGTTTCTGTGGCTTTGATTAAAGATAAAAAGTTGTTGATTGGTATTTTTTAATTCATTTTTCCTTAAAGGCATGATTTACGTAATTTTAATGAGACTGAGTAAACAACAGAAATGTGTTTTAGATCTATGTGACAGTTAAAGAAAAATTATTTATTTTGGTAACTATGAAAAGAAAATTCAAATTTATTGTATTTTTGTTCAATTGTTTTTGTAGAAACTATTAAGAAATGTGTAATAGTTGCACCGATAGCTTATCGGCTTTGTTTGTTTATAATTGTGTTGAATTATAATATATATTATGTATGTGCGTGAAAGTATCATTAATACCTCAATTTTTAATATTATTATATGAGAAGGTTAAAGAAGACACTATTTTATTGTAGAAGTATTGTTAAAATGTACATTAAGCATTTGTAAAAAAAAAATATTTAAATTAATATTATCGAAATAAATGACTATGATTGTTGTAATATTAAACTGTTTATTTATTTCTTATCAATCATTAATATTAAAAAAATAGTATATTATTTATGTATCGTCAAATAATAGGAATAATAATTATTATTATTATTAGAACAATAATTTAATCATAATTTTATCTCATCAAATTTATATTTTTGTAAAATTTTAGGAAAAATTATTATTCTAATACAATTTCATTATATTTAAAAATGAATATTTTTTTACGAAAATATATTTGATTTTATATACTAGCCGCTACCTATTTTAATTGAATAGATAAATGCTTCATTACGTTGTTATTTGTAGATCGTTACTCCTTTGATACATATAGGGTTATCCTTGATTAAATGAAGTGTAAAGATCATTTAAAATTCATGATGATTCTCTTGAAATATTGATTGACATTAAAATTACTTCATAAAACCGGTCTTATGTTAACATATGATAAAAAAAATGTTATTAATTTTGTGTATAATTTTCTACGAACTGTTTAAAGGCGTATAATAATTATTTATATATATATATCTTAAAATTATTATAACGCCCTGTTCTACGTTAACAAACCACTCGAAATAATTATTGATCATAATAGTTCAATGTTTCAGAGGTGCATTTGGGTTAGCAGTATTATATGTTTGGTTTTTAAAAATTTTTTTTTTTCGTTTTAAAATGAAACAATAGATTTTGTTCTAATAAAACATACTTGTACTTCAAATTTAATTCAGTTCTGGAGAGTAATATTAGTTTACTAGAGTTGTATAAGAATTGTGGTTATAAAGAAATTGTGTACAAATGATACGATGAGCATTTTATGATATAATTTAATAGATAAGATGAAGTTATAATATATTATAACTATAAATAAGATAGATTAAGGAAAAACATATGTAATAAATTCAAATGAAGAGAGATTTTTATATTATGGTATAACTACCAAGATTTATATAAAACTTAAATATTATATAATTTTAGAACTATTTGATTAGACAATTCTTATATGCATGTTGAGTTTGATGACAAAATATGTCAAGTTATCACATCAATGGAAAATTTTACTACAAAATATCACAGAGGGATATTTTTAAAGAGACACTTTGAATCACGAACACCCACGGAGAGCTATTTACCAATGAGGTCAAGATTACCTGTTAACCTTTGTTAATCTTTATATCCCGAATTTGTGAGGATATTAATGTGATAGCTTGACCTTATTTTTCTTAGCATTCATAATCGATGTAACTCTGTTGTACAGACCAATACTATACTTTGCAAAATATCTTCGAAAATATAAAAGAAAATTTTTATTTGAAATTTTTAACAATAATGGTTCCTTGTTGAACTCTACGTGAAAAAATAATTATCAGTTACCATCTCATATGACCTAAACTCGTATGGAATTAAGATTTTAAAATAGCAACTCCAATCTTATATCTTTAGAGGGAGTAAAGAAATCCACAAAATTCTTATTTTCAACCTTTTCTTTTTGGTCATCATTTTGTTATAAAAATGAATATTGCTGTAAAGGGGCATAGCCCCCTTTTCCTCCTTTTCTGGATACACTTCTAAAAGACGAAATGTTTATTGGAACGTAAATTGATAATACTACACATTTATAACATTGTTATAAAATGAAGAAAGAGTATAGACATGTTTTTCAAGTTGTTCATTAAAAACCTATATAATGTAAACAATAAAACTGCTGCCTTAATGCTGATTATTTGATCTTTATTAGATAAATAAAATAATTTTCAAAATTAATATCAAGTCGTTGTCAATAACGACATAAACTAAATATTAATATGAAAGGATTTATGTTTTAATTATTAATACTAAGGAGAGGACAGTACAAATTTCAATAAAAATTATATTATAATTTTTCACTATGAAAAATATCAATTAAAAATAATCATGTATACCTCATTTTCCTCTAATAAGAATCATGTTTTTTTACTGTAGATAAAAAAACAATTTTTACTAAATATTTTTTAAAATTGATTGATAAAATTAAAATAAAATAAAATAAAAATGTATTGATCATCCTAAAAATTTACAAAACTTACTTAAAAATACTAGATTTTTTGTTTAAAATAAATTAAATTTTTTAGTAACTATGGGGCAAATATAAATGACTTTTTTTAGGTAAACCTATTTTAAGCCAACAAAATACTTTTTCATTGGTATCTGATGAAAATTGTTCAAACACTTCGTTTTTTTTATAGCTGAGAGTTTTGTGTCCTCGGGTAACTTTATGGAGGTTTTGAGGAAGTGTGATACTCGTCTCGACTCAACGATTTTCCCACAAGTTATTTTTTTAAAGCGAGAAGCAAATAAAATGGTTCGATAAAACAAAAAAGTAATTTCATAGGAGTTTTGAAAAAAAAATTTGTGTAACAGATTTTCAAGAACTTAAAAATTTTGTATGTATTTTAATGTATTAACTAGTTTAAATATAAATATCTCTAAAACTAAACTATCAAAGTTTCTAAAATTATTATATAACAATATCTTAGGCGTATAATTAAGGGCGTATATAATATTAATATATTGAACATGTATTCTACTTAACAAGTAAAATTTCTAGATTACAATTTAGCTATTGAATAGTCTCAAATAGATCCTCAGTTTACTAATGTCTACAATCAATAACTACAATACATTTGTCGTACATTACAATAATTGTTATTATTATTATTATTACTAATTATTAGTGTTGTTGAAAGAAATTATTTTAAAATAAACTTTTGAAATTTACTTGTGGCGAAATTTATTTTAGAATTGTCAATTATTTATTCCTTAACAAACATTTGAACGCTACAATAAGATTGAATGATAACGATTTATAAACTTTCTATGCTATCCATAGGTTTAAGGTGATCAAATTTTTTAGAAAACTAAATTTAATTTTCTGCCTTCTAAAAAATAATTTTTATTTAATAATGCATATAATTTTGATAAATTATGGGGGCTAAGCCTTCCATCCTTTTGCATATTATATATAATTACTGGCTAATGTATAGATACAATTCATTATTGTGTGTAATGTCTTTATAATATAATTATTTTTGCAATTCTATAGCTTTTTTAAAAAAATTATGCATTTCTAAGGTTACATGACATTTTAAATTTCTATACATTCTGTTATGTTTCACATTACTATGGCTTCATAATGTTTTAAAAAATAATTTTTTTTTTACTAAAAATAATACTCCATATACACTTTGAAAAAATTCATTATTGAATTTGTGAATTTTCGAGAACTAACAAAATTTTCAAAAAATGTTACATCAGTCGTAAGGAATTTTGACGATTAATTTGTTTGCAATATGTTATAATCGTGTTTTATGTTTCATTTCCATGTTAAAAAAGCTAATAACTGATAACGATAATTTTCTAGTTTTGAATTGTGATATATACATTTTTTTTGTTTTGTGTAATACATTTTCTGGTTATATTAGCATATTGGTTTTTTCACTATTAACTACAATGTTTATTTAAAATTTAACTCGACAACTCTGTTATAACCACCAAATTACTGGCACAGTGTAAATAATGACTTCACATTATTTTTATTTGTAAATTAATATATATTTTAACAAAAATATGTTTGAACATTTCTATAGACTGAAATAGTAGGCTTATTAATATGTTATCGGTTTCTTGTTATCTTGATTAATCTTTTTCTTGCAAGAATGCCATAAAATTATACAAGTCTACGTTAAGAAATAATTTACCCCATGCGAGTAATCTGGTGTCAGTATTTCACCACTTTATTTTTAATTTTATAATATTATACACCCAGAGAAAAACCTCGATCTATATAATAAATTCATTGTTCAATTTGATAAATATATCATTACTATTCTATGATATATTTATCAATATGATGATTTTTTTTCTTGTCTTGAACAATAATTATTCATAAGAATAATTATTTTGTTCGTATTAATAAAACATTATCATAAACCCTTGATAAAATTTCTCAATCAAAATTGATTGAGGTTTTTCTTTGGGTGTATATATGAAATTACTAAGTGTTAAGGAAAAAGTTCTTTTTACGAAACAACTCTAGATCGTAAAATTAAATTTGTGTAACGTATGCTATTTTAACTTTCTGAGAACATATCTTAGAAGTTTTGTCTAGATTGCTATGGTACATAAAATAACCAAAATTCACCTAGTAAAAAAAATGTTTTATATAATTTAATATTAAATATAAATGTGATTTTTGTTTTATTTATTTTTATATTTTTTTAAAAACAAAAATAGTCTTAACATATTTTTAATGAATTTACCTTCATAATATATGAAAAAACGAGACTTGGAAATAATATACACCAGTAAGAGTAATTGAAAAATAACAGTGCGAGTTACGACATATTATTAAGTTAATGATATTTTCATGGGTCTTCACTTGGATTAAATTAATTTTATTTATAAGAAAATAAATAAAAACATGTTTTCTCCTATGGCAACTAACTGTGTATATTACAAATTGAAAAAATAAGTACAAAGCTTTGTTTTGTAAATTTCATTAATCAAAAAATCGATTATAATATAAAAAGAAGTGATTTCCAATAAATAAATAATTAATATAATAACTAGCTGCTTTTAATAAACAGTTATTCGGGAACTTTTGACAAGTTATTGTGTAAATATAATAATATATAATACTGAAAAATATAATAAAGGTTTCTTTCCTTTTTGCATTTTAATGAAAAACAATTTTTTCTGCGATGCACACGAATAAAAGTTAATTTTACAAGTTTAAAACGATATGAAAATTTATAAACTGCTTAAATTGGTTGACGATTTGAAATATACCGTTTTCTACTGTTGATTATATTTTTCATGGAATAAGTATAATAGTTTTTTTTAAGCTAATGATTCTTGGTTGATGGTTATAAAATTGATGTGTTCCAATCACTTATAACCGGTAATAGTAACTATAATGTAACTAAATTATTATAGTGCCGTTAAAGGCGTGTCGTTCTAAACCATATTATATACTACGGTTTAAGACAAGGTTTGTGCGCATTAGATTGGTGGCGAAGACGTCTTAGCAGTCACGAAGATGGCAATCAGATTATACGTTGAATCTATGTACAAGACTAATGTCACTAAATTATAATGTTGTTGTGGCTGTTACGCGAGAGTGTCAAGCACGAGAAGAAGCGTTTAAAAGACAATTTAGCGATAGTTCTTCGTCGATCCCCGAACTCCATAAAGAAATTCCGCATCCGCATTACACTCAGGCACACCTGTCAATTTGAGGGCACACTACTAGTAACGAATCTAAGTGTAAACCTTCGTCTAGTTGCACTACACGAGGTCCTGAGCATGTATACTTTTTTTCAGGAAATGTTTTTTTCTACAAGCAAATCTACAATGATCGTCAAAAACAATATCTTTGTCAAGATTGCAAGAATAGACATGAATGATTGTGCATTAATTTTTGTGCAAACCGTTTTACGACACCATCTGGGCACGCATCGCGGTGTCTTTAAACGAATTTCTATAGCTTCCGACCGGAAATCCTTCTTGAATGTTCACATCGCTCTCTTGGAAATAGTTGACCGAGCTCGAGTATACTTTGAGCTCATATGACTTGGTCACGGAAATCTTCCTCTTCCGGCCGGGCCTGTCGATGTCCTCCTCCATAAACGCGGTAAAAGGATTCTTGACGGTGTTTATTTCCTGGGCAACGACAGCTGCAGCTTTCCTGTTGCCACAGAACGGGTCGTCGACCAACCCGCGTTTTTCACACACGCCATCCGAGTCGCGTTTGCCGCCCTCCACGATGACCACCTTGATGAGCGGCACCACCGAGTCACATATCTCGCTGATCTCCTTGGCAAGCTCGAATTTCTCGAACAGACTCATGTTTCCGTTGCGCTCGAAAGCTGCATGCTTGTCGCTGAAGGCAAACAACTGAGAAACGCTCAACGAATAATGGTCGCCGAATAACCGCGAAAGCTCGGCGTAGGTTTCTTTCAATGTCTGTAAAAAAAAAAAAAAGAAATATTATAAAGTATGAGCGAAATTCGCCGTTTTTTAATTATTAGCTACTGGCGGGGTGCAGTTGCGAAACTGGACGTTTGATTTATTAGACACGCCTACTCTGACCGAAAGTAAATCGTTCTACGAATTTAATTTGCTGACTTTATTTCATTATTTTTTACAGGCAGTGATTGTTACGGAATAATTATTGGGATTATTGAAATATCTGTAGGACGCCCGAGGCGTTTTCTGCGTGGAAGGACTATGTAAACAGTTACTACTATTTCGACTTCTTCAATCGTGAGTCACTAACCATGACCTTGTTATATTGTAGAAATGTTAAATTTTAATAACGGCAATCGTTTAACCATAATTCAGATTTTGTTTTAGACTTGATTTCATTTAAAATACAATAATTCCAAATAAAAAATTACTCTTTCTTATCATTATAAGCCCAATAAATCCTAACCAAAATTTTTTTGATCAAATTACAAACTTAAAACATTTATTTTGCAAACATCAGGTCCATTCTTCAGCAATTCAATTATAACAATGAATTTCAAAAATATTAATTTAATCAGTTGTGACGAATCGAAGGAGAGATTTAACTTTACTATTATATTAATGTTATATCGCTTCAGTTATGTCTGTAGGTCAATAATATAAGATGTTTGATACTTTGTTAAAATATTTACAGATCATTAAGGGCAAATTTGATCTGTGTTATCAGTTACACTTGTATTTTTTTTTATTCGTCAATATGATATTTTATTATCAGTAAAATAATTCTTCTATAACAAAAAATTCACAAACTTATGATTATTCTATTTATCTAAACTATGTCATCGAAAGTTAAGTAAAGTAGAAAACGGTAGGTTAATCCTCTAGTAAAATATACTCAAAAAACTTATCAGATAAGTGCCTAATCATTAAATTTCAAAATTTATGTAAAATTTCAATGTCAACTAGTATAAACAAGTTATTTTAAGTGATAATAAAAAAAAATTTTATAGCTTACATTTAAATATTTATTGTTATCATTAATAATAACAATAATTTATTGTTTTGTTTTGAACTATCGCTCGTTATTATTATATAGATGAATTTCCTATGATTAATCAGTTTGAGAACACACACTCATTAGTTATTATTAGTTTATTTGAATATAATCGTATACATAAGACACCAGCACGAACTTAACATGTGAGCTTAAGGTGGAATTGTTAATGATATTTATTTGAGTATAAATACTAGTTGACAGGAGTTATCGTTATAATGGTATATACGCAATTATAAAAGATAATTTTTTTCCTTAATTCATTTTCGAGTAGGTTAGTGTTTTTGCTGATTTTTATTTTTTCTTATAACGTCAATTCTGTTTACTTAAGTAGACAAAGAGTAACAGAGACAAAATGCGTCCGACTCCCGAGAAACATATTCAATAATTTATCATTACATGCGACTGAACCCATAGACATATTAACAATTGTATATATATATATATATATATATATATATATATATATATATATAAGATGAAACCAGATAACTACACGTGTCTCAACTGGTCTGAAAAAAATGCAATTTTCTCGACCTAATAAATATATTGAGAGACAATCACATGTTTATCGATTATAAACAACGAGACAACAGTTAAGAAAGATCTGAAGTATACACAGACACTTATGACATGCTTCAACGATGACAATTGTTTGTCCATCTTTTTAATAGAAAAGTACCTTATCGGGTGCACTCGAGAATTGTTTGGAAATGCACTCCAATTCGAAAACATCGAGAACATTTTAAGAGCGGATTACTGACTTTAGACACGTACCTCATTGCATAGATCGAATAGCTCGTTCCACCGTTCGCAATTAATGTTGTTGGACGCGGCTAACATGACGGCGAGTTTTTTAGATATTCCCTTGAGCTTATACACGCGAAAAATGGGCAACAGTGCTCGTTCAACATAAAAATATTCGCTGTAAACGTCCGAATAAATATCGTCCACGCTTTCACTGTAAAATACCAACACTCATGAGTTAGTTGATGTTTTTATAAAAGAAACAAAAACTTCTTTATTCTTAATTTTATGACTAGACTCACAGGTTGTTTCTTAAAAACGGCCTAAAGTCCCGTAGAAGATGACAAAAAGTTATCACCCGAGTTCTAGCCACAGATTTTAGATGTTCTACGAGTAGGATAGCCAAATCGTCCAATCTCTCCAGGACCATTGAGCACGTCGGCCACATATCTGAGACGTCGTGTAATAAAGTGTCTGAACTTTCTTTCACTGTAAAATTCGTTCAAATTAAAAACTTTAATATACTTGGATCAAATATTTGAAACTATTTTTTTAATTAAGATTAATGCTAACTTACACTTGCAAAGAGTCTGTTCGATGAGCGATTTATCATCCATCAAAAAATAATCGGGCCACAAAGCTCTCTTTTTGAAAGCGGCCAACATTTTGTCCATTTCCTTGTTGTAAATCATCTCATTTTCCAAGATGTTTATTCGAGCTTTTATTAAAATTGCTTCAATATCATTCATTTCACACAACACTTCTAAAAATAAAAATTTTAAACATAAAAATCGATATTCCACATTTTTTTTAATAATTATAAAACTACGAACTAACCTTTATTTACTTGGGTCAAGGTCATTGGTAATTTTTCCCAACTAATTATTTCTTGTAGCGAGCGACTCCTTGAAAATGGTAAACGAGGTTTAAGAAGCTTGGTACTGGGAACCTAATAATTGACGGAAACGCATTATTTTAAGTGCTCATAATTATTAAATGGTCAACTATTTTAATAATTATTCAAACAAGCATATTTACCTGTCTATTCAATCTAGTTAATGGCTCGTAAGGACCTTTAATAACAAAAAATATAAATAAAAATACACTGTCAGTCATGTCTGTATTGTTTAAAAAAAATTTAACGCAATAAGTTAATTTTATGAAGACGTACATCTAAGCTGAGACTTTTGGTCTAGATATTGCAGGTAAGTATCTTCGTTCCAGGCTTCCTTCACTTGCCTAATACGCTTTTTCCAAGCGTTCAAATGTTTCTCAGATGTAAACTTAACTTTAAACCAATCCAACTTCGCGATATTTTTTATGTGTAAAACTAACTGACTGCCATCGGATATTCTCCGAGACGCTGATAAGTCTCTGACAGGATGAATTTTTGTTCTTCGAGGGTCTTGATCGTCTCTGCAGTCATAATAGTTAAAATTTTACCCTTATTTTATTAATCGTCAGTTATTTACCCATAGATCCATAGAGTACTGTTACTCAGGACCACAAAACGCTGTCTCCAGTCAGGGTCTCCTACGACCTTCACGTTGAGGATATCACAAAAGCTCGACACTCCAGACATCATTATCTAAACAAACAAAACAAATGTGTTTTCAATACTGTAAAGTACATTAATTATCATTAAACTAACATTACATAATAAAATACCTTTGTGAATTATTTACAGTTTATATTAGTGATTCTTCACTGTAATTTATACACTTAAAAAAAAGTATAGCTTGTAAGTTCCAAATCATTTTAAGGTGAATTGTACGTATTTTTCACATAGAGTCACTAATACAATTTTATTCATCAAGTGTTATATTTATGGAATTTTTTTTTCAATATTTCATTGTTTTAAATTACTAGATGACATTGTTTTTTGTAAAATGATCGTTAGGATTAACTTTATAACGACATCTCAAAAATGAACAAAAAAATTCAAACAACGATAAAAGATATTAGTTTCCTATACGTGTGTTATTACTATAGTTGTCTAATAGCCTATGCTACGTATTGCTGTGATAAAAAATTGTCCACCGTTTTTATTGCCTCGGATGCCTATTATTGCTTTTGTTATATGCCTATTTTAATCACATCAGTTAAGTTATGTAAACATCTATTTGAAACAAAAAGAAAAGTCAATACCGTAACAAAATCTACATATTTTATACCATGAGATTTCATACTATTGTGTTACACATTTAATAGCAATGTCTAAAAGGGAAATTATTTTTCTTAATTGTAAAAAATTGATTTATAATCCGATCAAAAGACAAGTGTAAAGTGAAAATTTATAATATTTAGTAAGTATATCCAAATACTATTAATTTCATACTTATGTATCAAATTTGTATTGTATACGAGTATCATTGAAATACCCAGTAATGCAATTAAACANTTAATCCGATCAAAAGACAAGTGTAAAGTGAAAATTTATAATATTTAGTAAGTATATCAAATACTATTAATTTCATACTTATGTATCAAATTTGTATTGTATACGAGTATCATTGAAATACCCAGTAATGCAATTAAACATAGAAAAGTAAGAACAATAGTAAATCTAAAGGATTGTAAGATAGTTAATCTATTGGATTAAATTATTTTTGTAATATGTATTATTTAATCTCCCTGAAAGATTGCTGTCATTTTCCTTGGATAACAATAGGAAGTTAACAATGAACATGCGCAATTAGATACATTAAATTGAGTTGCTCTGTTAAAGGCAATTATTATATAGTTATTGATATAATGAATAGTAATTTTAGTTTTTGAACCATGTAATTTTAAAAGTACTATAACTTCTAACTCTAAGATTCTATCATTATGACACTCAATTCCATGACAAAAACTTATACAGTTTGAAAATAAAAAATATTTGGTTAGTACGTTCCTCTACTGATCCTACACATTTGTTCATTACATAACATTACCTAGTAAAATTTTTTTGACAATTGAAAAAAATCTCTTTTTATATTATTTGAATACAAAACAATTTAACTAATCCCATTTAATGCTTGATGGCGGCAATTATGTAAAAATACATTTTATCTTTAATTTAAGTTCGTCTTAAACGTCAATTTTATATTTCATATACAAACAATTATATTGATTCGTCACCGACAGGAAAAGTAAAGAACGTATAAAGACTTGATATCCAACTAATATTATTGATCACTTACATAATGTTAACTAGTAACTTTTTAATACTTGACTGAATTTTCATAGAATTTTATAATAGCATTGATCGAGCATGTCGTAATATCAAACACTTGTTAATATTATATTAAGCTTAAATCAACGATTGTTTTAAACCATTTTAAAGGTAAATTAGATTACATTAATAAAATAAAAAAAAAAGTGTTATTATTGCAAAATTAAATTGCGTATCACATATATGTATAAAATTGAGTATACACTGATAGGATTGAGATTTTTCAAATTTATGGATACTTATAATTAAGACAACATTTAATGTTTTAGATTTAACAAACCTAATCATAAATTATGTAAATTTTTTTAGGATGATTGTAATATACTGTTGTTTGTGACACCCAAAGCAATTCTAATAATTATTCAATCGCTTATGGTTATTATAATAATTTTTTACCCAAATATAACCAATGTAAATATATTTTCTTGACATTTTGATAAATAGGTAAATGAGTGAACAATAAAAAAATAACCTATACTTCGAACATTTCTGTTAGCGTTGATAAAATATACATGGTTGTTAAATAACCATTTGTTACAAAAACATTGTAAATATATTGGAGAAGATCAAAAATCTTCAATTTTATTTATAACGATTTCTCTGATTTCACGGTTTACAAGAAAAATGAGTCATTCACCTACCTATTTACCTTCCTCAATCCCCAGGTACATCTATTTTATAGCTTATGTGAATGTAGTACATACAATATTTTGTCGAGGTTGGGTACTATTTATCTTTGTACTAGATTGTTAGAGCGGTCCTTTATGCCTCACCGCCAACTGGGATAATACTATTACAAAATTATTATTAACTTAAAATGCCTAAGACGATTTTGTGTTAGAGTAAATCAATTTTGAATTAATTAATACTGAATTATTGAAATAAAACGTTTTATTTGAAAAAAAAAATCTTTGATTTTATGATAATTAAAATAAAATTAGCAAAAAAATAAAGAATAACTTAATGAAAACCTTGTTCTTGAACACTAAAAAATTGTTTGAATTTACTTTAAGAGGACAACTACATTAGTCAAAATTTCCAATGTGGTATCCATCTGTCTAATGGAATATAGGTATTTTTGAAACAGAATCTTATGATATCCTCACATAAGACAATTTCCTTGTAGAAGAATGCCAAATTGTTTGAAATAAAAAAAATAACGTCTTTTGACAAAAATTGTGAACAGACTCTAGTAGACCAATGGAAACCTTGAATCATTTGAAATGTGTGTAGGTACACAATATCTTACAGTAATCATTCATTCTAGTTGTTCGCTCCTAAATAGAGTCGGTTTAAGAAGCCCTGAACATTGAATATAAAAGCAGTCCACAGGAAATTTGTTTTTCGTAGACCCAACACACAATGCATAAGGACCTTGTTTAACTGTCATGGTGCTGAAGATACTTGTTTTATAAAATTCTTAACTAGTTATAGATAATAAAATGAATTTCAATCTCAAATTTAAAATAATTTTATTTTGTGTCCTCAAGATGCTTCAATAAAAAGTTTAGCTTTGTATTATACGTATAATAACTATTAATTAGTAGCAAAGAAAAAACTTAATTTGACCTATTATTTGAAGTTATGTAAAGAATGAATATTGGTATCATAAAAAACGTTATCTATCAATTTTTGAAATTCTACTAATTTTAAATGTCAGATTAAAAAAATATACTATCATTTTTAAATAGTTATATTTGAAAAAATGCAGGTTAGGTAAATAAAAATTAAAAGTGGGTTGAAAATATTCTCAGACGGTTATCATCAATAATAGTAATAACCCGATAACTACGACATTGTCCTTACCAAACGTCAATGCCGACAGCAAATAAATAATATTTTATCTTATGCACACCAAAAATATTATTTTAGTATTTAAAGGAATGTTAGAATACCCGCCTGAAACATTTTAAAATTGTTTATTTTTAAATAAATATCTAAATCAAACCCTTAAATTAATTTTAGGTTCATTAACATAATGTAGTTCACTATGTTTAAATCGGTGCTTACTAAATATTTTTATTTCCTTTGATATATATATTCAATTTTATTTAATGATAATATATAATAATTTTTAATTTCAATAATATTTAAATAATAGTTTATTGTATTATAAGGAAAAATACAATCAGACGGCAAAGCATTCAACTTGAGCAGATCATTACTATGCAATACAATAATGACTCAGATTGAACAATTTGTAAAAATATTTTTATCGTTATTCAACTTAAAACTCTAATATAGCAGTTTAAAGACAATTAACGGATCAAACAATCAAAAAAATTTCGACTCGGGAGGTAGAACAAACATTAACAATTATTAAACTCATTTGTTGAACATTAACACAAAATTAATGATATTTTAATTTATTTGCTTAAAAGTATTTGATAACTGTCTTTGAAAACGTGGAAAGTATTTAAAAATCAGTCTAAACATAAAGTCACGCGAACGACAAAAATAGTAATAGCATTTTTTATTACCGAGTATATTCAATAGAAAATAGTAAAATACTTCCATACCTTTTTCGATTGTCAATAATGGCGGCTAAACGAGCCAGTTTTTCGACAGATGTATTCTCGGATTTCCGCAATGTGTTCAGTTATCTTTAATAATAATATCCTTGCAGCTGCTTTGGGGGTCATTAGCGTTCCTGCGTGCCATGTGCGTAAAACACAGCAGATCCCGTTTTCGGACCTCCACCGTACCGCACAGCTACATATCTACGACTGACGTCTCGGGAGTCCAAACGTTCTTTAATATATTAACATTATCAGGAGGAGATACGATTACGGTATCGACCACGCCGCGCTTTTCGGCTTTATTGGCCGCACCGTAACTTATACCCGTTGCAACGCACCACGGCGTAACGTCGTGACTCGAACAGCAGCGCAGTCGTTCGGGTTGGATTTTCTGGAAACGGAAGAGGGACGTGGAGAGGGGGCGTTTTGTTGGAGAAAAACTCAGCGGTTGTCACGCGAACCAAGAACGAAGCTCCATCTGGCGGTCGATTCTGACGATTTATCGCCTTCCCCGGTTGGGTACATAGAGCACATCGTATACACTGGCAGAACAATGACACCGACGGTAATTGTTATACCAGCAGAGCAGTGTAGTCTAGGTGAGGTATTAGCGCGGAGGTAAATATTTACCTGAGCAAAACTACATGTAATCTACACAGTCATTGAATCAGATTTGAGTCATTATTTTGTTTGCATACCTCCGTACAAGTACTACATACTAAATCGACATGAAAGTTGGGCTAAAGTGACAGTGCGCACATGTCGTACATATACATCACCCGTTTTTTATTTCTGAACATTTTTTTAACCCAATGTATACAATAAGTTACTTTACTACGCAGTAAAAATTGCATGCGTAATTGCATGACGACTTGGCAGTCAAACCGAATAAACAAACCCACGTTAGGCTTCCATTCAAATCATTCGTTTCAACAATTATAACCATAATTAAAAGTTCAATTTTATTTGTCTTATGATTACACCACCGTTATCTTTATACAGAGCACACTGACCTCGGCATATTCGTTATAGGCGGTGGCAAAACACGACTCACAAGTCCGCTACCACCTACAACGAATATATAATATATATATTCTTTATTATATATCATAATATATATTCATTATATAATATATAATGTAGTATATAAAACAGATGGGAGGAGACAGATAAGTTGTTAAGCTTATCTGTAGACATTCGAGATGATAATTATTTCATTCGTGACATCCATACAATGAAAAATGTTACATACTTACTATGAAATTAATTTAATTTAGACAATGCTACACGACACGACAAACATACATTGACCTACATTAACTTGAATTAAACGAGTTCAATAGTATTTCTATCATAATTTGATAGCTTGAAGTAGAACACACCCTCACTACCTACCAGTTGTATATTTTGGGGTTCGTCAAGTGAACTAGGATCTAAGATGAAATTTTTTAAACGCATCTTAACCGCGATCAGAAATGTAAGTATATAGAAATGTAAGAACCCGAATATTAATATCATAAATATCAAAAAGGTTAATATGCCAATGCTACTTCTTTATTTTTAAAACCGTACCTACCAAGAAGTAACAAAAGAATTAGCTCACAGCAAATAACAGTATTTTAAACTTAGTACAATTAATAAATAAATAGTATATATAGCATATAGAGAATATCCATCCATTTTTTGACATCTCTAATAACTTTTGAAACAGCAAATATTTTGTGTTACTTATTTTTTAACAATTTCTAACGCTTTACACTACGTTATAAGTATATTCTGTATTATTAGTCTTTTAAGAACAAAATAAAAATAATTTTTTTTGGATTTTAAAATTAGTCATTTATTAACTCTTTTATTACAAAAAACTTTGATGGGTCGATAAAATTTTAGGAAAGGTGCTTATAAATTTACAAGCATTTTAATACATATAAGGGCTTTGTAGCGTTCCGCCTGCTCTACGTACTTACTCTGTGTAATAAAAATCAGTACATAGTTAGATACTCGGTATATTATGTATGCTGATGATATTAAAAAGTTTTATATATTATTAATATAAAAACAGCTGAAATAATTCCAGCTATTCAATTATTGAACACGATGTAACAATATCTTAAACTGTTAACTAATTAAATGATAACAAATAAATAACCATATACATAATATCAGTCGGTTAATTTTTATTCCGTAAAAAGGTTTTTTTAAAAGATTTGCATTATTCTATTTTTATACACTGATTGTAATGAGGTTTAGTTAGTAATAAAATATTAACAACTATTCAAAAATATTTATGAAACAATTAAATAATAAATCTATTATTAATCAAAAATCGAAATGCCTATTATTATTCATTAATTAATAAAAATCAATAGTTATTATATGCAGCAGTACAAAAAAATGTTTTTATAGTAAACTAATAAAAATAAACCATTGAAAATTCTTAGATATCTCAATAAATAAAAAATAAACAACATAAAAATAAATACATGACATTGTAATTTTTTATATTCCACATAATTTTTTCGGTTTTACGTAATATTTTTATTAATACGTATATTTTTATACTAAATATTATTAAGTTATCAAACCATAATTTATTTAAAGTTTTAAATAAAATGAAAAATTTAATATAGATGTAGTATTATATTGTTTTAAATAATACCGAAGTATATAATAATAATTCTTTTTATACGTAAACATTAACGCTTAAGATTTATTGAAGCCAGTAATTTAATTTTAATAATTAATTTTTGTATTAATTTTCTTACCTCTTTTTATCAATTAAGCTGTATGGTAATAAAAATATTTCGCTTTCAATAAATTTATCTAAAAGTTAATAATTTAAAGTCAATTACAAAAATATAAAAAATTATATACAATTTCATATTATTAAATTAACTGTATATATAAATAATTAAAAACTAATTTGTTATTTTTAAATCATAGTATACTAGATTTATAATGATATAAATATAAATATATATTATAGGTATAATATATTCATACCTGCATAAAACTTCAAAGGTTTATTTTATTTAAATTTTTTTGTTTTAAAAAAAGTTAACACGACTGTACCCTTTAAAAATTAGTAATCAAATAACAGATGTATTACTAACAATTGCACATAGAGATCTTTGTTGACATAGGATCTACAATATGGATTTATATTTTAATAAAACTTAACCACAGTGAGTTCCAAAATTCAAATTTATACTTAAGCGCGGTTTTTAAACACCTGCTATTAATAAACTCACCTACGCTAAATTAAAAAACTATTTAATGAAGAGTGTAACATAGTTTATCCATTAATAATGTTCGTTCAATTTCTGCGTAGTTTGTCACAGATGTTTAAATAACTTTTTTATAATGCATACATTATGCTTTAAAATCTAAATATTTGATATTTTACTTCTTTTTGGCTGAACTAGACATCACCAGAAAACGTGATCTAATTCCGTGGAATTAAACCAATATTATAGTACTAAGACTTGCGCTGTTTCAATATTTTTTTTATGATTACTATGGGTTTTTTCAGAAAAAAACAATTTACCTCAATATTATGAGATAAATCATCTCTCTATGTAAAATTAATTACTGTGATTTTCCTTTTAAAATTATTATATTTTGTAAATCATATGATTCTGTGATATTATTTTCTTATTTATATTTGTTCACAAAAAAAATGTAATATACTTTTAAAGAAAGAAACATTTTCTTTTGTATTGTAAAATACGAAATCAAAATTGATTTATTACTCATTACATTTTTATTATATCAGTAGTATCATACTCGAAAGTTGCGAATCTAAATTTTTTTCCTATAGGCAATCACAAATATTTTTAATCGTTAATTTTTTTTTTTTTTTTTTTAAAGCCCAATATTTTGTTTATTGAATCGCGTTTTTGTCAGTGCTGACAATTCGACAAATTGCTGGGGTCTGTGTCTTATTGTTATTTTGAGTGCCTCTCACTTGCTCGCTTTAATATACATGCCCGGATAAAGGTTGACTGAACACCCCGGGGCAAAGAGCTTAAGGGGTCCATCTCTAATTTTACTAGTCTGTCATGATTAGGGACATAAAATTTTTCTCGTTTTTTTGCTCAGCTCTTATTTTATGATAGCGATTTTTTCCAAAGTATCATCCTAGGGTCCATATAGGTTTTAATCCGACCCCGTTTTACAATTTTAAATTAATTATTTTTAAATTTTTTGTTAGAGAATTACAAATGAAGAGCAAGTATACGTTTTCAATGATAACGTTTAAAACGAACAATTTTATGAAAACATAATCAAAAGTATGTGATATCAATCATTGTAAAGACTAGCTTTTTCCGTCCTCTTTGACACAAGCATTAGCTTTTAGAGAGGACGTGTTAAACATGATTAAGAAATTGTATAAATATAAATAAATAAAATATCTTGATGATATTAATACCGCCGTAGCTTCGAACGAAACTAATCTAAATGTAATCAGTAGACACGTAACTAAAATTTCATTTGATGAGAGGCTTTCAAAAAAAATATTTATTCAGCTACTCAATACATTAAAACTTAACATAATATCTAAAATATAACTTTAAAATGTTTCGAAGTGTTCCAATCACCCCTCTTTTATTTACATGCTGAGTTGTCAGTAAAAATCTATACTCTTTATTGTATATGGAAGAAAAGGCGTTCTATTTCGTCTTGCATGTAATTGGTCTAACAAGGCTTTGCAAAACTTAGCGGCGGCATTAGTGAGTGGCAATAGTTCACAAGGACCCAAAGTATGTGTGCCCTCTACCAAATTAGCCCAAACCTTTATTTATGTTCTGTCAACTTAAAACTATAATTACTGTTTATTATTAATAAATTTAAATCGCACTTATCACTTTGATTAATATAATTTCTAAATATTTTTCTTTGAATATTTGATTACATCGATACTTTTTACTTTTATATTTTATTTAGTAACAATTGATTTGTAATATATTTCAATCTATAAAAAAGTAGTTATCTTAAAATGAACCTCATGTATTTATTTCAAAACGTATAAACCATAAAAAATGTATACTATTCCCGGTAATCGAGTAATAAGTCAAACTATTGCTATGCAGTAATTCCCCTTTGTTTATTATTTTTCAAAATAATTAACAATCATAATTATAATAATAATAATAATAATGTTTACAATAAGTAATTGCAGGAGGGTATTTAACACGTTGATTGTGACATGAGTTGAATTTTGCGACCCTCTTGTGTAGAACTTTTTTGTTGGTCTAAAAGGTTTCTTTTACTCTACTTTACATATATCAAAACTTAGTTTTACCAATATTCTGCTTTTTTATAAAAAAAAAAAACAAATAAAATATATCATATAAACTATTATTTATTACATTATTTTACAAAATTGGAATTATAAAAAAAAATATCAGGGTTTAACTAAAATTTTATATAGTCTGTTATTTTTTAAAATTAGCTTCTATATGTAAACATTTAGAAAATAATCCTATAACTTTTTTAGGACAGTTTATAGTAATAACAACGTGTGTAACGTGTAAAAAGGATTTCTAGTAAAAACACTGTAATCGTAAAATAGTATTCAATATTTTATTAAAAACAAAAAATAAACATTTTAGCTCTTAAATAAGTAATATTGCAAGTTAATAAAATATTATATTGCTTGTGCATTTGATTTTTAGTTAAACTAATGGTACATTTAAGTAAAATTTTAGAATTTGGAAAAGATTTGATTAATGACTAATAAACCATTTTAACAAGATTACTAATTTGATTCGAAATTTTAATGTAAAACAATCATAAAAGTTCTTAATAAATAATAAATAAATTTATTCTAATCTAAATTAACATAATCTTTTGATAAATTTATACTTTCAATAAGATAAAATATTTAACACTTTCTTTTTTCAAAATATGGTATACAATACACTGAATTTTAATACATTAAAAAATATTTAGAAAATTTAAAGTATACTGTATAATTGCATACAAGATGTATAGGTTATCAACGATTGAAGAACATTATAAGAAATATAAATTCCTTACCCCTCACTTTATTTTTGTACGATAAGGTTAAATTAAAATATTTAAAAAAATTGAATTTTATAAATAATATTTAAATGATTTCTTATTTATTCTCATACTACATTATATAAGTACTAAAATAATCTCTGGAAATGCTTTCCCGTGATTGTCTTTACCCTCGAACGTTCGCAATTTTTAGAGAAATATAATAGAATATTATACATGGTTTTTTCAAAGTAATATAACATATATATAACATACAAAATATTTAATAAATTTAACTGTAAAAATTATAAAAATGTAATATCTAACATAAATAGGAATACAATTTGTTTTATAACCATAAAACTTAAATTGACTGGCTTATATTTTTTTCACAAAAAAATGTTTGTTAATACTTTTTGTCGATAACCAAAAATGGTTTTAAAGAAGCCCAAATTTATCTTTAATATGTAGCGATAAAAAATACAACTATAAATAACAATATGACCTAATTAATCGAAAAGCTTAAAGTTCTAAATCATTAAACTGTTAACTTTTAACATTCTGTTTTTATATATAAGATCTATGGAATAATTTTTTCAGACTTATTCATTTTTCCAAATATTTTTATAACAAATTTGTTTGAATTAAACTATTTAAAATTATTTAACGATGTATTTCACACTTGATATAATCATTTTTATTGGTTTCATTTGATATGTTTACGCGCATATACTGCCCTGTATTAGAAGTTAACAGCTAAAAAGCCAACATCATGTAAAGGGTTTTATTTAGTTTTGAACAAAATCAATTAATAAGTTTTTTTAATCAACCATTTGTTACTAGACGTATATACTATCACCATACAACACATTTGTTGATAGGATTCATTCTAGATCCAGGGCGACATCCATAGGCTTTAGCGAAATCATTAGAATTCGATAACGGTCCCCACACACGAGTAGGTCCTGGCGAATGTACTGATGATCTCACTTTTGTCAAAGCATCTTCTGGGCGCATTGAACCACACCAAATTTGTGCGTAATTCAAAAAGAATAATTGATCATGAGTCATGTCTATACCTGGTAATAAAGGTTCTTCTCCATGTTTTGAAACCCATTTCTTATACGCCTAAAAAAATATGTGTGTAATTTATTGTAAACAAAGTCGTCATAAAATTAGATTCAAAATGTATGTATGGCTTATGTGTTATTTTTTTATTTTTAGATGAATTAAAAATAATAGAATATTTAACCTTTTGTATAATATTTACAATAGAAAATTTAGATCATTATTTTATTCTTTAATTAGATTTTGTAGTCACGTGCATCATTTGTGGTACGCATAGTAAACATTTACGCACATAAAATTTTGTACTATCATTTTTGATACCTAAGGCTTTTGGTGTTTCCTTCATTACCAATATCTAACCATCACCAATGTATTTTATAGTGATTTCTGTAAATATATGTAGTTTGCAATAGCTACGCCTACTAAAAAAAAATTAATTGAAAAAACGACCCTATTTTTATCTGATTATAAGACGTGTTTAAACCATATAAATATTAAAATGACTTTTCTTTAATTAAACTAATATTCTTATTTACCCTAAAAGATTGTTTTAAACCACCGTTATCTGCAATATTTTCTCCTTGTGTCATACGTCCATTCACGTGTAAATTTACTTCTTGCATTTTGTACTTTGAATATTGATCTACCATACATTGTGCTTTCTCTCTAAACGTATGTATTGTCTTGGTGTCCCACCATTCAATCATATTCCCATTTTTATCAAACTGCCGACCTGTGGAAAACGTCCACATTAATAAGTATAAATTAATAAGAAATCTTTTTACTATTACCTTTATCGTCAAACCCGTGAGTGATTTCATGACCAATTACTACACCGATACCGCCATAGTTCAAAGATTTGGGAAAATGTTGACTGTAGAATAATGGTTGAAGAATTCCTGCTGGAATAACTGATACGATAACGATAACATTATTTATTTAAATTTTTTACTTAATTGATATTCATATAATAACTTTAAAAAATTTACCAATGTGATTTTTGTTAGGGTTGTAGAATGCATTAACAACGGCAGGTTCTGTGGACCATTTATCTTTATCAACTGGCTGTCTTAATTTTTCTAAATTTTGATAAGCGTCAAACTTCATTACATTAAATACATTTAAAATAAACTGATCTTCAGTTATGTTTAACTAAAAGAAATGAAAAAAATATCATCAATTAATTTGATTATATTTTATTTAAACTTAATAAATACCATAAAATATTCTTTTTCCAGTTCATCCACATCTGTCAATAGCTCTGGATAACCAATACGTTCTTTCATAGCATCTGCTTTTTCCTTGGCTACTATCCTTGTTTGATCGTCCATCCAAAGGTTTTCATTGAGAAGTTCATTAAATGCTTCGCGAATGGATTGGATCATATTCATCGCTGTTACCTAATATAATTAATTGAAAAATATATTGTTACTTAATTCTACATTTTTAATAATGTTTAACGTTCTCTCTAAAAGCTATTATTTGTGAAAAAAAGAACAGCAAGACCGACCTAGACCAGTGCAATGGATTCAAACCCTGGTAACTACAAACCGAGGCATGACGTGTTACGGACTGAACTAGGTAGGTCATCCACTTGATAAATTTAAAATTAAAAAAATATATTTACTTACTTTGCTTTCGAGACTAAAATTATCTCTTATAAATAAGGCTCCTACAGCCATTCCTAGTCGTTTATTAGTCCAATCTACACAATCTCTCCATCTGCTACGTTCACTCAATATTCCTAATAATATTTTTTTGAAGTCTAATCTTTTGTACTGATACTCATCGATCAAGTGAGGGATTACAGCGCTTTGTATTAATCTCCAAATTATATAGTTTTGAATAACTCTAGCAAACATAAAATAGTTAATAAGAAAATATTTTTCTAATGATAAAATTAAAATGTTTTAAATGATATTTTTTGTCATAGCGTAAAAAAAGTCCCTAAAAGGCTCAGAAGCAAGGAAATTTTTTTTAAAAAAGAAAGTCAGCTCGATTGTTTAAAATTTAAAATTAATACCGCACTAATAATATATTTTTTTTTTTTTTTGATTTTTACATCCAACGAACCCTAACAAATAAAATTTTATTAACAATAAATAGTTAAGTTAGATTTATATTGTTATGTATTCTTTACTCAATGAAGTTTAACGATTATATTTTAGGTATTGGTCAAAAAAGATTCAAAATGATGTTATTTTATTATTTCATAAAGATTTAAATATCCCATCCCTTTAATTTGTTATATCTATTATCAGATTTCTTTATTGAGTTGACATACCTTTTATCAGTTTTTTTAATAAGAATTCCGAGTTGTGTGAAATACGCCATTGCATAACTAACAACAGGTTCCTCATCGCTTACATTAAAGTTCAATATAGTCCTTAAGTATAACAACCAATCAATTTCTGGAACTTTTTTCTGAAGATCTTTTAAAGTAAGTTTGAAGTACGTACCCGAACTATCATGACGATCGGTCTCTGTTTGTGTTACCTTTTATATATATATATATATATATATTAATGAAGAGTAAAATTACTATTTAAAGACGTTTTAAAGTTAAAATTTACTCACATTGGCTAACTCAATTTCAAATTCCAGTATTTTTAAAAGTTCTAAAGGTGCGGTAGACTTATTCGCACCCAATAATATTGCCACTTCTGTCATATATTTATGATACGCTTTTAAGGCTTCTGCACTATTATCCTTTAAAAAGTAATCTCTACTTGGTAACCCTAACTGCATTTGATCTATCTAAATAAAAAAATATTTTTTTTTTATTAAAATAGTTTTGAAGTTGATTTTAATAAAAATGTTCACTAGCATTTTCACAAAATTCACCGAATAACAGCTGGTTTTCTTACTTATGGGAAGCGTACTACATTAATGTCTTACTTTTTTCGCACCTGAAGGATGTTAACAGAAGAGTTCTTGTCATCCGGACCAACCCACGGCTCGATCATAATGCCTTCGTTAAAATTTTTTTTTAACCAACCCAATAAAACTTCAAGTCCATACATAGGAGGTTGCCAATTTTTTTCAACTACAGGCCAACCACCAAGTGACTTTAAAAGTTCACGAATAGGATTATCTCCAGTTCGCCTAATCTGGGCTTTAAAATCAACGTAAATATTATAGCCATTAAAGTTAAATTTTAGATAGACTATTGTTGTAAGAATTTGACTTACTAATATTCATACAAGACTTGTAAAACAATTTAGCTTTTATTGTAGCTGAGCTATCAAATCGATTCGCAGGTTCTTCCAAAAGACCTATAAAAGATAGCACGAATTAACGCCTTTCTACTATTATTTAAAGGTCTAGACTAGGAGCTAAATAAAAGGAGAGTGTCTTATTTAAATATTATATACTAATTTTTGTATGTGCTAAAAATAATTTACAATACCACATTAACAATTGTTTTGAACAATAATATATAGTTTATTATTTTTGTAAAAGTGCGTAGTTTCATTATATTTTGAAATGCAATTTCAATGAGATTAAAAATGATATTTAAATTTTTAAAGTTAATAACCGATAGTGTCTATACATTTTTAAATAAAAGTTATAATTAGGTTTCGGGACTCTATGTATATAAAAAATTTACTTTAGTTATCCTGAGTACATCAATAATAAATAGATATTCGATTTATTTATCTTAATCTTAATCAGTGTATACTAATTAGGACTAAAGATTCAGGAGGCAGAGGATCACTACTCCCCAAGAACATTAAAGATTCTACGATGTATGTATACCAATGATAAATTTTCATAAAGTTGGGTATCTTGGAAATACTTCAAATAAATTTTATAAATGCATAAAGTCTTGAATCCTAGTTATGATAAATATTTCACTACTAGATATTCTATATTCTATAACAGGCAAGTTAGATACAAATTTAAATTCACCTATACTATAAATTATAAGTTGATATATTTATATATTCTATTTATAAGAAAAATGCGTTCATAACATAATCCACCTTTTAAAGTTATTTGTAAACGATCTGCTAATACTTCAAATGTGTTAATACTACTTTTATCTTCTGGAATTAAATGTCTTTTATCCCAAGTTCCGCAAGCATATTGGTAAAAATCGTCGCACGGATCTGCTGTTTGGTCCATAGCAGAGAGCAATGAAGCAGCTAATAATGAATAATAATTATTTAATATTATAGAAGTATTATATTAATACTACTACATTATTTTACACTGGCAAAAATTAAAATAGATAAATTTTCATTTTTTTTAGTATTAAACTTTGTTTACGTTTTATAATTCCTTGATAATTTAATATTGATCATGGTGTGCCACCGTGGACACACTAGTTGTTGATAAGTTCTAGTGTTAAGTCGCACCTGTCACTATACGTTCACGAGTGGATAGAGATTTTTAGAGTTTTTACAGCAGTAAAAAGCATCATGTCTCTAGTAAAGCCGGATTTGATGAAGGGTAATTAAGATACACACGCCAAGCCCTACATTTTCCATATATTCCGAAAAAAGTTTGTCTCTTTTACCTTTGATAGCTAATTTAGGAAAAACAAAAAATTTAACTTCATGAAATAATTTTTTTCTACGTTTAAATTTTACAATGGAATAACATCGCGAAGCATTTGGAAAACACAATAAACCATAATATTCGATTGTATGTGTTAATATTTATTTTTATATTAAAATATTAAAGATAAAGTGAACCCATAATCATTACCACAATTAGAATGAAATGTCCTCAGGTTAAAAAACTTCCTTTTTTGGGCTAGGACGTAATGATTCTTCTTTGGCCATATAAAGTATTAAAAAAATAAATGGGGCTACCACTAATTTTCCTAAACATTTAAATGAATTGCAATAGTAATTTAAAAAAAATATATTTTATTAAATGATAACTTTTAATATCTATATCTATATCTATATATAACGTAATTACCTGTTTTAACGCATTCTTCATTCATGCATATATTTGGTTTGCTGTTGAAAAACCAATTATCTATTAGTAAAAAAAAAAAAAAATGAAATAGATAAACATTTTCTTCTGAATAATATTATTGTTATAATATATTGTTTATATAATAGTTCAATAAATTAAGAGTGAATGTGTCAAACGTTCTATGTGCCAAAAAAGTGAAAAATTGTTTTATTTCTGATTTATGTTCTATGTGCCAAAGGCCACAATCTTGTATGTGTTTAAAATGTCAATTAAATTTTTTACTTGTACAAAATTGCATTCATAGATGGTGTTCGATATGTGAGACATGCCCATGTTACCATTGTTTTTTGTGTTTTCTGAACAAATATATTTTTGGCACATAGAACGTTTGACACATTCACTCTTCAAATATATAATTGATGACAAAAAAGATGTAATACATACATTTAAAGTATTAAAGTAAGAAGTTGACCATTAATTATTTTTAATTATTCGATTATATTTAATATATATAGTTTTATATTATATTTAATATTATTATGAATATTATAGAAAAAATGTAAACTCTTTTTAATTTTTATAAAATGTATACTAAATAAAAATTCAGCCACTTGAAATTACATTTGTATTGTCATTGAAATCATATTTTCATTATGTACAATCAACGGTATTATTGAATAAGTAATTAGTGCGGATAGTGGTCTGAATTTAGTGATCATACATTAATCAGACTATTGATTGATTGAATAGTATCTACGATAGCAAGGTTTAAGTAAAATATCAAGGTAATTATTAGAACAATTTATATTAATACCTTATATAAATAAATAAAGTGTAACATCAAATTAATGCTAGAAACGAATCGGTAGCTTTATAGGGATACCTAATTGAAGGTTACTATTTATTACGGTTCCATGATTACTGCAATCTTAAATTATTTTCGTTTTGATGTTAGATAATCGTGAAAATATTAAAGTTAGTACATTAGATACAAAATGTACGATTATTTTTTAATTAATTAATCAATCTGAGTCGTCAATTAGTGTTTATTCGTACAGGTAAGCTTTTAAGTTATACTCACTTTTACAGTTATCTTTTGATCCATATATGCACTCGACCTTTAAGACCAAGTACGTTAACGATGCAAGTAACGTGAACAGTATGATTAAGCATATAAATAATATTATACGCTCTGTTGCAGTTTCTGGCACCAATATTCGATAGCAAGTGGAACCACCAACTTTGTGTTTAGGTACTTCCATTGGACTAACATCGCGGATACGAAAGTTGCTTTTTGATGAACGTTCGTCAACCGATGTAACTTGCACATCGGGCAAAAGACTAGTTTGGTATTGTCGAATAAAATATCCATTTTTGGTTATTTCTTTATCTTTGAAACTTCGAATTTCTATTTCACCACTACAAGGCGATGTGGGTGAACTTTCTTTACACGCAACAGGTGTAATAACTGGTGAAATACTCGTCATGTTTACTGGTTACTTGTTCGATGTGGCCGATATAATATTTTTGAAATCGTTAATAATTTCAATGAAAAATGCAATCTGAATTATATTCATTCTTACTACAGCTGCAATGAGTGTTACTGAAATATAATTTAAACATAGTGCACTTAGACATTTGTGCGTTACGATTTTTAAATTTTTTTGGGAGATGATTGACAGAAATAATAAATTATTCAATAAATAGTATTAAAATAATATACAAAATTAGAATGTTCATTTGATATATTGATAATTATTAGAAAATCGCATTTTTTTTTAAATCTGATTGTTGATAAAATTTTTAAATTTCATTAACCCTAATGTTTTTTTTATAGTTAATGATATTAATTATCGGATTGCGAATAGGGTTTTTGTTTACTTGATTAACCTTGTCGACCGAAAATTGCATGGTTTTATTGATTAGATTTAATTTGTCCAAGTGATCTGTGAAAAACTCATGGCCGCTGATCTCTAAAAGATTCAACTGATTTTTATACTGCATACGTGACATTCATTAAAACAACCTAGAAAAGAAAATTCCTAATTCAGTTTTTCAGTATTAATTTTTTAAAATTATTTACTTGATTTATTAATTTTAATGTTAATAAGACGACGGTAGTTTACAAATTTAAAAACTACTTAAAACTCTTACATATTCCATTCTATCCACATGTCAGTGAATTAAATAAAATTATTAGCATAAACAGGAAAAACAGATTTAAATTGAATAAATCTGTTCCACGATTTTAGATACATTACATTACAATTTTATGTTTAATTAGGATAGAGATTTAAATTGTCTAGATCGTGCGTATTAATTAACGAGAATATTCATAATAAGTTTATGTTGCACACTTATGATTACTTTTCATTATTATTTCTATTTAAAATCAGTCATAAAAATTTTACTAAAATTACAAAAACAGTTAAATTATTCATAATTCTCTTAACAATAAAATTTAATAAAGAAAAACAAAAGCTGATATAAATTAAAGATGACTTTAACTTTGAAAAAAAAAAGAGAATTTAAATTAATTTCAATATCAGAGCAATTTACTTGCATTTATATAATCTAAAAACAATTTTATTTGGGGTGTTACATTAGATTTGATGTTTAATTGAATTTCGTTAAAATGCTTTATTATTAGTGATATTAGCCAATATCTGTTGTAGATTATTTGATGACATAAATTTGTCAATAAATTAAAATTTATTACGTTTTTGGAAAAGTCTCATTACTTTTTATAAAAATAGTCTTGTCTAACATGATTTATGTCTTACAAGATCTAATAGTAGTACTTACTCTAATAGTTTTCTTTAAGTGTACAGTGATTAATGTTTATGGTAAAAATAACATTTTTTTCATCTAAACAATTAAATTTATTCGATCATTATTTTTCAGATTATTTCAGTGATGGAACTATCGCGATCAAGAACTATAGTTTTCTGGTACACTGTTAAGGACGCCAACCAATTTATATACGAGCTCAGTATAATTCTAACTTAAGTATATTATCATTCGCCAACCTTCGACTACTTTCGCTACGGGCACGCGCTTACTTTTTCGCGCTGATTCTTTTCTCACGGGTGCCAATCAATGCTTTCTCAGGACACAAATTATAGCACCTAAAGTTATGGCCCAAAAGTAAATTTCTGTAATTTATAAATTACGTGGATATAAGTTTCCTTAAAATTCCGTCTATAATTAATTAATTCAATTTTTTAAGAAGTTCTATAGATATAGTTATTTCTTCAATTGATTAAGGACGAAATACTTGTTGCAAAAGTCGTCACAAAATATAAATAACGGATGCTGCACTGTGTCCGGCAACAAGGTTATACAATCAATAAGCACAAAAGTAAATTTAGTTGTATATCTATAAGCTAGATAGAGCTAAAAATTATAAGAATTTTTTAACGAATTCGAATTTTTGTAGGTAAAACAAAATAATTATTTTATTGTAAGTATTTGGGACATAAAATGGTTATTATTTATACTAACCTAGATATATAAGTCATTAATTCGGAACATACTAATATGAAAACTATTAGAAAAATCTTCATAGTTAAGTGAATCAAACCGTGACTAAATTTTTCTGGTTTATAGTTAAACAATAAAATCTTATACAAAAATTTAATGAGAAATCACAAATAAACTCATAATACATATATAAAATATTTCTTTTAGTATTTGTATGAATATATTCATAAGTGAGGATTATATTTGTTACTGTGATGGAATGTCTGTTTCAAACCATAGACGTCCCAAAGTTTAACGTGACGGTTTAAAATTTAATTTATTAGATTATCTTTAGCTTCGATGCGAAACTGAGAAGATTTTAATTTTACTATGATGTGTTTTTAGCTTTTATGCGAAGCTAAGAAGGTATTAATTCTACTATGATGTGTTTTTTTTTATTTATTTTTTTGTGTCACCACTTTTTATCAGCTCTCACCGAACCGATTTCTTTCAACGATACGTCAAAAGATCACAAATCATATCTAATCGAAGACATTACCCTCAAAAATTGAAAACATTTCCCTCGTTCCCCGTAAATGGGGGAAATCTCCAAAAAAATTACAAGCCTCCCTTATCATTTTACTTAATGGATTCTATCTAATTTCTTACACAGACCATCTGGAATCATTTTTGATACTTTATTAAAATAATTTTCTTTTTTCAGTATTACTATGGAATTCCCCTTAACTGATTTTAAATAAAGGCAGTTTTTATTTTTCCTAAACAACCTTTATTTACAACCGAATTTTTTTGTAGAAAATTTAAACATTCTTCTTACTAAGTCTTAATTATCAAAATCAACACTCATAACCCCCATTTCTTAATGCCTACAAGGAGATATTCTAACGGAATTTTTTTCGGTAAAAAATTCATTTTAAGACGAAACGCATAAAATACTCAATTAAAACCATGAAACTAATTATAAACGTAAATAATTACAAAGAACCTAATATAAGGTAGGCAATAGAAATATTTATAAATAAAAACAATATAATTAATTGGGATTTTGGCCAATTGAAAAATTTATTATTAAACTTGTGTAAATTGGTAAAATGTGATAATATTACTATGTGATTAATTTACTAGGGGTAATTAAGGGAATTTTTTCGGTCGGGGTGTCAGTATGAATTATAATTAATAATAGTAATATTGTTTCCAAAATTTTTATCCGCGATTTTTCTGTCATTTTTTTGCGGTTTTTTGAGTTAAATAATTTTAATTTTAAATAATTAACCATAAGTGTACAATTTTTATTACACAGTAAATCTAAGTTTGCATTATAGATATTTAAGATTAAATAGGTTGTTTAAGAAGTCATGAGTAGGTACATGTTTTTGATAACCATTTGATTTGATTTGTTTAACAATTTTTTTAATATTTCAGTTTTAATGGCATAAAAAGTCGATACCTTAATATTTATCAATTTAATTGAAATTTAGTGTAGTTTTGAAGTATTTTAAAAATGCTGGTCCTTTATGGATTTATAGAAATATTCGTTTCCAACTTATTTTACTTAACTACTCCACAATATTTTTTTATTATGAATGAAAATTGAGTATCCAACTTATTAAACTCAATAATAACAAGAAACAATTTAGTATGCACATAAAAAATTATTTAAGTTTCATAATAATAATTACACGACATTTTGTGATCATTGATTTACTTGTTTTTGTATGTTTTCGTAAGAGCTCGTTAAAAAAAATTGCTTAAAAAAAAACAACAAAATTTTTAAAAATAATTTAAAACATTATTGATGGCCTATATATTAAGTGTTATCAATTAAATATTATGTTTTTAAATGGTTATTTTCAGTTTCTATAAAAAAAAAGTAACCTAAGAAATTTTTATGATTTGATATTGTAAAGAATTGAAAATATATATTTGTAGATCAAAATTAAGCAAAGACGTTACAATAAAATCAATAAATTTATTAAGTAACAAATTTAACAAAAACAGGGGGGGTTAACGCGATAATTTAAACTTGACTCTAAATTCAAGAGACAGGGAATTCTGTCAATAGTATATAATACCGTCATATGTTAAAAAATTGTTAACTTTATCGATATAATATTGCAAAGTTAAGGATAATACCGTTTAAGATTTCTCTTTTGGTCCCTTTCGGGATATTATAGATATTTATAGTAAGATTAACAAATAAAATTTCGTTTGGAATAATAATTTTTTTTTGTAATTTTTTATTTAAAAAAATTTAATTTTTAAAAATTATGCAAAATATTTTTAAAAGATTATTGAAATCGAGTTTTCATTTATAGACTTTATTCATTTATAGAAATTGTGGTTTATGAAAATGTATACAGTTTTTATTTATATCTACTGAAAATTTGAATGACAACTTAGAATAGTACTGCTAATTTCTCAGTTTAAAACATAGCTACTAATCATGTATTAATAAAATATTATGAACGATTCTTTTGTTCGAAAGAAGAGGATAGGAATACTGTAAAAGGAGAAAGAAAGTTAGTACCACTTCCTACCCTTGTTATACATACATTTTCATTAAAAACCAAGACGAGCGATCGATATTATGTCTTTGTACCACCTGTCTTTATTCTTATTGTCATTTTTTTTCTATTAAGAGCTGATAAAACAATTTCATAAGTGATTTTAAGGGACTAAAAGGAAAGAGGACATACGTTTTTTTTTTTTTACAAATATTTTCTAGTAAATTCCTTTATAGTATTTATAGTTATAATAATAAAATTAATTGAATTAAAACTATTGGCTATTTCATCAAACCTTATTTTACATTAAGTGTTTGAATAAATCATGTTGTACTCATGAAATGTATTTTATTCTATCTACGTTAATGTATAAACTACCGAAAATATTCAAGTTCTAAATTTAAATTTCATTAAAAATCAACTTATCATATTATTTAATTATTTTTACAATTGACTTTTTGTTCTAAAAGCATATTACATTTTATTATTATTGCATATTAAATAATTTTCAAAATGTTAGTATTTACTTATGAAGTATACATAGTTCCTATAAGCTAGTATTTGTTTAAAAGGTGTTTGCAGGAAATATTTGATAGCTCAAATAAAATTAGAAAAAAAGCTCTTCAAAACAGATATTTTAGAATGGTTACGTCAAAATAGTTAATATAAAATATCCATGTATTAATTTTGATAATGGTAAGATTACCGTAAATAACATTATATACCATAATCCCAATATAGAACACATAATATTCACAATACAAAATTGAATATCGCAAAAAACTGCCTAAGTTAGTTCCAACTAGTAAGTGACATCGTTTTAGAATTATTAGAATGATCAAACTTTAAAACAATTTTTTATGAAAGCGAGTCGATTAAAAATTACATTGAGAATTTTACACTCCAATTACTTTTATGAAATTGTTTTTGCTATTTGATGAAGGAGATAGTGGTGTAGCAAGGACTATTGTCTTAAAGGGAATATTTAATCATGGATGAGACATCAAATTTCTTTAAAAAAAAAAAGGTGGACTTGTTCTCTATTTGCTTCTAAACACACGTCTGTCAAAACAGTATTTACATCGAAGTCAAAATTAATGATTTTTAACTTATTATTACTTTTACAATAGTTTCTTCTGTTGAAACTTTAATCATTAAAATTTTGAAGTATGTAAACCATACTATAATTAATAAGTGTAATAACTATATAGTGACCAGTTATCAAGTTCAATGGATACATTAAATCATAACCACACAACGAGCAGGGATTTGTAAAAAAATCTGTATTCATGTCTTTCTCTGGCCGTCCTGACCAGTTGCAGTATTCTTTTGTCTGTTGTCTTTGACCAGCGAAATATCTGAAATCTTAAACTTCGTTTCCATTCTTTCATTCTTTTCCACTAACAATTTTCTCTCCTACCCGCACCTGTCACGGTAATCTCATACAGTTGTTTTTGTTGTCGGACCGACGTTTTCCTCGTCATCCGCTATCCAAACTGTGGCGCTGCATGTTATAGCCTATATTGTAAACAACGCATGCGCACAAATGCCGATCGCGTCTTTTTTCCCGTGTATATACTTTTAAGACAATAACCAAACAACGCAAACCGCCTGGAGTACGCTTTTTTTTTTTTTTTTTAAAATCACATAAATTTCATTGTAGTTACATTCTTTAATTGGCAGTTACGCAGCGCATGGTTTGTGCTTTATCACGTTAAGTATTTTTAGTGAAAACTTTTCTTGTCCGAGTTGTGCGTGTCGGCATCCGATGTTATTATTTAACGTGCACAGCGGCGACCAATAAAAAACACCGGGAACGCGATGGCATCAGACGAGGAAGTTGAGGAGTCTTACACCGGTAATTACTATTTTTGTCTTTCGTTTAACCCTTTAAATTTAAGAACGTAATTTAATATCTCTCTTTCCGTTATCTTAATCATAAAAGCCGGCAACCGTTTCTATGTTGGCTAAAGAACATTTTCTCTGTGATATCTCCGGCTTCGCCGCCACGTTAATTAGCTCATTAGGGCCGCTAGTTTTTGCAAATGGGGACAACCGCAAACAAGATGGTGGAACACTCGTCGTGCCGCCGATTAATTTATTTCCAATATTCTGTTAAATGTTAAATATTTTTGGATTTTTTAAGGTTATGAGTTTGTAAAATCAATTTTTAGGGTATTAAAAAATCTGAATTCAACTTTTAATGTAGTGTGTATGTATAAAGATATCTAATGTAGGGAAAACATTCGTCATGGTTCTCATCTTTTTAAAGTTATATCAGATGTAATAGTATATTAAAATTAACTACATTAACAGATTACTTGTATAGAAACATATAAATTAGAGTAATAATTATTATAGATAAATTATTTATTTATTCTTTTTTATTTCCCAAGAAATAATGTATATATTACTTTTTGCTTAAAACTAATTTTATTACATTAAAATAGAATAGTTCAATACAGATTTTATATACTATTGTTTTAGATGATGATTATTTTCTTTTTCAATATAAACACCTATATTGTTATCAAATAGGTATTAATTGTTTAATTGTATACAATGAGAATATTGCAGTAAAATGATAGTTACTAATATATTAAAGTATTATCTAAGAGATTCATTTTTATTCCATTTTTTTTTTAAATCTTAACATAACTTTTATTAATTATAAAAATTATCTTGAGTATATTTTTCATTTTGTATTCCAATTTTTTTTTTGTTTAGAAGACTATGATGACCCATCAAGTCGTATAGAAAACTCATTTGACTCTGATGAAGATAAACGTGTAGAGGTATGTTTTTAATCAAGTTTAATTATATGAAATAGGTTTATTTATTATTTTGAACAATTTCAATATATTAAATGTAATTTTAGGAAGAAGATGATGAATATGATCCTGAAGGACGTAAAAAAAAAAGAGGTAAAAAGCGTAAAGCAAAAAGTGATTCTAAAAAAGAAAAAAAAAGAAAGAAAAGAAAAAGAGGTGGTGACAGTGCTGAGGTAAAAATTATTTTATATTATTGCATATTTTTAGTATAATTGATAAAATTTTAGGAGAGTGACTATGCAAATGTAGAAGAAGATAATAATGCTGCCAATGATTCAGATTATTCCAATAGAAAATCTAAAAAATCTAAAAATTCTAAACATCATCAAGTAACAACTCCGACCACTTCTCAAAGTCAAGATAATAATGGCAGTAAGATAACATATTAATGATTTATTGTGAAATTTTAATTAATTTGTCATTTTTTTAGCGGGAATGCCTTCAGTAGAAGAAGTTTGCCAAACTTTTGGTTTGCAAGATGTTGAAATTGAATATACTGATGCTGATTTTCAAAATTTAACTACCTATAAATTATTTCAACAGCACGTTAGACCTATTCTTGCCAAAGAAAATCCTAGGGTAATTTAAAAATTTTATAATATTCGATTTTCAAACTAATCTTTTTAATTTTTTTTAGGTGGTAATTGCCAAAATGATGATGTTAGTTGCTGCTAAGTGGCGTGATTTTTGTCAGCTAAACCCACATCATGAACAAGATGATGTAGAAGGTAATGAAGAAGTTGAAAATCAAACCAAAAGTTCTACAAGACAAAAGGTATTTCCTTAGTAAATAGTAATTATTAAAAATAACTCTTCTTATTCATTTATTTTGTTAAAAATTAGGCTAGATCTGTTGAAGAAACAGATGAGTTAGAAGAAGAAGAAGAAGAAATTGAAGAGAAAAAAAGTAAAAAACGTAGTAACCGTAGTAAGCGTAGTACAGGGGCAGGAAATAAAAAAAGTTCCCAAGGATCTACTTCAAAAGTGCCTACATTAAAAATTAGACTGGGAAAACGTAAACAAGCAAGTTCAGTTAGTATCTATAAAATATGTTTCCTGGAAGATATTTTATAATTCTGCATTATTTTTAGGATGAAGATGCTGATGGTACTGGTGCTGGAGACAATGCTGGAGATTCTGATGCAGAATTTGAACAAATGTTGCAGGAAGCTGAAGAAGGTGCAATGGCTGAAGCTGAAGCAAATTATAAAGATGATCCTGATGCTCCCAAGAAAAAAGCTAAAACTAAAATTGGAAATAAATCTAAGAAAAAAAAGAAAACTAAAACAACATCTAAGTTCCCAGAAGGCAATGGCGATGGTGATGATTTTGAGGTAAGTGTTTATATAAATATTTTGTTTTTATTATAATTTCATCTAATAAATATTTTTATCAGCAAACGGATCATCAAGACTATTGTGAAGTTTGCCAACAAGGAGGTGAAATTATGCTATGTGATACCTGTCCAAAAGCATATCATCTTGTTTGTTTAGATCCAGAACTAGAAGATACTCCTGAAGGTAAATGGTCTTGTCCCCATTGTGAGAGTGAAGGAGGACAAGAACAAGAAGAAGATGAACATCAAGAGTTTTGTCGGTGTGTATTCATTTATATTTATTTATTGAAATATTGATCCATTTAATATTTGATAACTACTCTTATTCTTATTTTGTTGAAAGAGTTTGTAAAGATGGTGGTGAACTACTATGTTGTGATTCATGTCCTGCCGCATATCATACATTCTGTTTGAACCCACCCATTACTGATGTACCTGATGGTGATTGGAAATGTCCAAGATGTTCGGTAAATAATCTACTTTACATATTTTTAGTAGAATTATTACTCTTAATTTTAATATATTCTGAATTTTTAGGCCAAACCACTGCCTGGTAAAGTTTCCAAAATTTTAACATGGCGATGGAAACCTCTTCCTGAGGATACTAGTAAACCAGTAGATGAACAACAAGAAAGAGCAAATAGAAGGCGAAACAAACAACAAAGGCAGCGAGAATATTTTGTTAAATGGCATGATCAGAGTTATTGGAAATGTGATTGGGTCTCAGAAGTTCAAGTAAATTTATTAATCTGATTAATTTGAGAATTAAATTATTTATTCTATATTTTAATTATTTAATTCTTCTTTTTCCTTGCCTTAATCCCAACTACTTGGGGTCAGCCACCCATATCCTAAATTTTAATTATTTATTTATAACTATAATATTTTTAATCTTTTTTTTTTTTTTTACTGAATCAATTGTATTTTATTAGATGGAAGTTTTTCATCCTATAACTATTAGGAGTTACATGCGCAAATTTGATATGGATGAACCTCCTAAATTAGAAGAACCTCTTGATGAAATGGATAACAGGTGGAAAAGAATTCGTGATGTTGGTGGTGATCAGGTTGCTTTAGAAGAAAGATATTATAGGTATTTTATAATTAGTATTTAGTTATTAAATTTATAGATTGTATTTTAATTATTAAAATAAATATCAAGGTATGGTGTAAAACCTGAATGGCTACTAGTCCATCGTATACTTAATCATAAGCATTTAAGAGATGGAAGAATGATGTACTTAGTTAAATGGCGAGATTTACCTTATAATTTTGCTACATGGGAAGATGAAAATTCTGAATATATTGATCTTAAAAGCTACATTGATTATTATTGGGTAATTACCAAAATTATTACATAAATCACTATTTTTGGTTTTATTTATTAGATGATTATTATTTATTTCTTGGTAATTTTAAATTATTAAATAATTTTAGGACTTAAGAGCATCTTGTGATTCTACAAAAAAGAGTAAGAAAAGCAAAGGTAAAAAAAGTAATGCTAAAAAAGAAATTGTTGAAGATGAAGACTCCTCTAAACACATTCCTGGATTAACTTGGTAATTAATAACTACATTTTATATAGTGTTACTTTATTATACATTGTATTTCAAATTTTCTAGCCGCAAATTTGTAGCTGCACCTGATAAACCAGTTACTGATTTGAAGAAAAAGTATGAAAAACAACCAGATTATCTTGTAGAGACTGGCATGGAACTGCACCCTTATCAGTTGGAAGGTTTAAATTGGTTGAGATATTCATGGGGACAAGGGATTGATACTATTTTAGCTGATGAAATGGGCCTTGGAAAAACTATTCAAACAATTACATTTTTATATTCCCTTTATAAAGAAGGCCATTGTAAAGGACCATTTTTGGTAATATTTACGTATAATTTATGTAAATATTGATTTGAAATCAATAATGTCATGTGTATCAAAAAGTTGAAAATTTAAATTAATCCCAGTAACAAGCCCAATAACATATAAAAAAAGTTAAGTACAATTGGTGGGAAATGAGAATTGTTTCATAATTTATTTATAAAAATATATAGATTAATAAAGGAAAAATTGAAAAGGACTAGTGTACATTTTTTTTTATTAGCATAAATCAGTTATAAGTATAAATTATTTATAAGATTTACATTTTGTTCAGAATTTTTTTTTTTTTTTTTGATTTTCAAAAAATGATTGATTACTCAAAATTATTTTTTTATTTTTTTTTTTTTTTGGACACAGCGTGTTATTGATTTCAAGTCTTTAAATATATTAATAATTGAACTATTAACAAAATAATAATTCTATTAATTTAGGTAAGTGTTCCGTTATCAACTCTTATAAATTGGGAGCGAGAATTCGAAACCTGGGCTCCAGATTTTTATGTTGTATCATATGTTGGAGACAAAGATTCAAGAGTAACAATCAGAGAACATGAATTTTCTTTTGATGATAATCGTTCTGGAGTTCGTTGTACTAAAATTAAAGGCGCCGTTAAATTCCATGTATTACTTACAAGCTATGAATTGATATCTATTGATGCTCCATTATTAGGTTCAATTGATTGGGCAGTATTAGTTGTAGATGAAGCTCATAGGCTTAAAAGCAATCAATCAAAGGTAATCACTAAAAAAAAAAAAAAATTTCAATTGTGAATGATCAATAACACCTTTTTTTTTTTTTCAGTTTTTCAGGCTTTTAGCTGGCTATAATATACGTAACAAACTTTTATTGACTGGCACACCTTTGCAAAACAATTTAGAAGAATTATTCCATTTATTAAACTTTCTGACACCTGAAAAGTTTAATGATCTAACAGTGTTTCAAAATGAATTTGCTGATATTTCAAAAGAAGAGCAAGTGAAACGTCTACATGAAATGTTAGGACCTCATATGCTTAGAAGATTAAAAGCTGATGTGTTAAAAGTAATTATTAGGCTTTTATAAGAATTTGTTTCAAAATTCTAGACTGAAAGAAAAGAGATTTCTTTTAATTTACCATAGTATGCTTTATTTAAATAAAAATATTTTTTTCAGAATATGCCATCAAAATCTGAGTTCATTGTACGTGTAGAATTATCACCAATGCAAAAAAAATACTACAAATATATATTGACTAGAAACTTTGAAGCACTGAATCCCCGTGGTGGTGGCCAACAAGTTTCATTGTTAAATATAATGATGGACTTAAAGAAATGTTGTAATCATCCTTACCTATTCCCAGCAGCTGCACAAGAAGCTCCAACTTCAATTAATGGAAGTTATGAAATTGGTGCTCTTACAAGGGCTGCAGGAAAATTAGTTCTACTGTCTAAAATGCTAAAAAAGTTGCAAGAAACAAATCATCGAGTGTTGATATTTTCCCAAATGACGAAAATGTTGGACATACTTGAAGATTACTTAGAAGGAGAAGGTTATAAATATGAAAGAATTGATGGCTCAATTACTGGAAATCAAAGACAAGAAGCAATAGATAGATTCAATGCACCTGGGGCTCAACAATTTGTTTTCTTATTATCTACAAGGTATAAATTCTAATTATCATAGATCTAAATTTGAAAAAAAAATGTGGAGAGAATTAAATATATATTTTTTTCAGTAGAAATTACTCTTAGTAAAGGATGACCTAAAAAAAGTCTTGTTTATATCTTGTACTAAACTTCTCTTCACTAATTAATGTTAATTTTACTATAACACCATCCATTATTATAGATTTACCATTGCATACTTAATACACATACACATTGATACTTACTCCATTGTTATACTTAAAACATAAAAATTGAGATAGTGTGGCCCAGCACTTACTGACAACATAAATAACTATTGATCTAGTTAATATTTTTTTTTTTTTTTTTTTTATGTTTATTATATTTACAAACTTGTATTAATACGATGATAAGAAATTTGATAAGGCAATTATTACTAATGGTTCTTGTTCAAATGCCTAAGTAATTTTAGTAGAAAAGTTACACACCTCCAAATTATAGTAATCATGAAAAGTGTATACTTCTGTCCTTTACTCAACACGTATTTCAAATTCTAATACCGTAAATAATACATGAAAATTAAAATTTTCACAAACTTTAAAATACTACTGAATATTCATAAGATATTTTTTTACTAAAATTTTTCTTAAAATCTATTTAAAATTTAAAAATAATTTATACTTTTAATAAAATGTAAAAAAATGAATTATTAAAATATAATTATAGATCTGACATATAACTATTATCAAAAAAAGTATATTAACTGGATCAAAAATTATTTAAGTCGTCTGTGTGTGCTGGGCCATTCTGTATATGTTTTATATTCTGTTTATATTTTCTAATGATTAAATTAGCTCAAAATAGTAATTAAAAAGTTTTTATTTTGATTTTAGGGCTGGTGGATTAGGTATTAATTTAGCAACAGCTGACACTGTAATTATCTATGATTCTGATTGGAATCCTCATAATGATATCCAAGCTTTTTCAAGAGCCCATCGTATTGGTCAAGCAAATAAAGTAATTATTTTGGTTATCTTACTTGGTGGGTAGCAAATAATATAATACATTTTATAATTATTATAGGTCATGATTTATCGATTTGTAACAAGAAATTCTGTTGAAGAACGAGTTACTCAAGTTGCTAAAAGAAAAATGATGTTGACTCATTTAGTAGTGCGTCCTGGAATGGGAGGTAAACAAACAAATTTCACTAAACAAGAATTAGATGATATATTACGTTTTGGTACTGAAGAACTATTTAAAGAAGAAGAGGTAAAAAAATTTAATATTTTCATCTATTCTATGAGAATTATTTTGATTTTGTTGGTATAGGGAAAAGAAGAAGAGGCTATTCATTATGATGATAAAGCTGTTGAAGAACTTTTAGACCGTTCTAAAATTGGTATTGAACAAAAAGAGAATTGGTCTAATGAATATTTATCATCATTCAAAGTAGCCAGTTATGTTACTAAAGAAGAAGATGAAGAGGAAGAGGCTAATACAGAAGTCATCAAACAAGAAGCTGAAAATACTGATCCAGCTTATTGGGTTAAATTGCTTCGTCATCATTATGAGCAACATCAAGAAGATATCTCTAGAACGTTGGGCAAAGGAAAGAGAGTTCGAAAACAAGTAATATATACATTTTCTGTATAAATATTTATTGTAGAATTTTTTGCATTATTTTTTATAGGTTAATTACAATGATGGTGGTGGTGTAGTTGATTCTACTCGTGAAGACACTACTTGGCAAGAAAATCTATCTGATTATAACTCAGACTTCTCAGCTCCATCAGGTACAATTCTTAACTATTCATCAATTTGTTTTTGTTTTTGATATTTTACAATTTTAGGCGATGACAAAGAAGATGACGACTTTAATGAAAATGATGGTGAAGCTGGTAAAAAACTTAAGCGTAAACCAGAAAGAAAAGAAGAGAGGGATCGTCCTTTACCACCTCTATTAGCCAGAGTTGGTGGAAATATAGAAGTAAGAATTTTTTTTTTTCTATTCCAATAAGATAAACTAATAAATTATAAGTATTATTATATGAATCAACTAATAGGTATAGTTTGAAAGTGCATTAATTAATGGTTTTTATTTTAAACTAACTCAAGTATATTTCCAAAGTGAAAATTTTCCATGCAAAAACTGATAAAGAAACAACAACAATAATCACTTTTATGGTCCTTATAACAGAATAATTTCAACCTGAGATAGTAATCAAAATCATTTCGATTGTTTCCACCTCTGGATAACTTAATTAGTGAATAAATATACTTTTTCAGTCCAATAATTAAAGAGATCAAAGCTACGTATGAATATTATTTGTGTTAATATATGTGCAACCTTTATATTGTATAATAAAAAATTTTATTGGTTAACTTGTCAAATAATATTCCTTTTTTGATTTGGCAAATTTAATAGCATCAAAAATTCTAACCCGTGCATAATTATATTATTATTATTATTCAACTTTAATAAAATCAATTTATCTTAATGTTATTTATATGAGTTGAAAGTTGTAAAGTAAAATATTAAGGTAGCAAATTGTAAATTGACCTCAACCATGTAACTATGTCATTATTCGAGTCTGATTAAAATTTATAAAAATAAGAAGCTATAATTAAGATCATTAACTGGTATTTATATTAAATCGTTAAGTTTTCATAAAATTAAACAAACAAAAATAGAAGTCAAATGAATTATTTAATTTTATTATTATTATAAGAAGACAAAATTATTTATGTTAATGTTAATAATAGAAATCCAAAATTTGGCTTTAGCTATAACAGACTTAAAATACTATTTATTTCCTGTTTTATATATTTTGGAATAATAAATTGTAGGAGATTTAGAATAATATCATTTTAAGTTATTATGTTATTATTAAAGGCCTCTTCCAATATTTGTAATCAAAATAAAATATTTTTTTTTTAATAAACAATGAATAATTAAATTTTTTTTTTAGGTACTTGGTTTTAATGCTAGGCAAAGAAAAGCCTTCTTAAATGCTATTATGAGATATGGGATGCCACCTCAAGATGCATTTAATTCTCAATGGTAATTTAAAGCTTTCATTCAATATTTTTTTTAGTATTTAAATCATTAATTTATGAATTTTTTTACTAGGCTTGTAAGGGATCTTAGAGGAAAATCAGAAAAAAATTTTAAAGCATATGTGTCACTTTTTATGCGTCATCTCTGTGAACCTGGTGCAGATAACTCAGAAAATTTTGCAGATGGTGTTCCGCGTGAAGGTTTAAGTCGTCAACATGTGCTTACTAGAATCGGTGTTATGTCGCTTATTCGTAAGAAGGTATAAAATAACTATACATTAAATTTAAATTGGTTATTTTATAATAATTATAAATTATTGTAAACTAAAATCCCAAATAGGTTCAAGAATTTGAAGAAATAAATGGTTTCTACAGTATGCCTGAGCTTATTAGAAAACCAATACAAACTATTAAAGTAGCAGATGTATCTACTAGTTCTACACCTATACCACGTTCTGAAGCTTCAACTCCTACAACAACAGTTTCAGAAAAGACTGAAACTGAATCTGAAACTAAACCATCTGTGGCTGTATGTTTTAAAATTTTATTATATATTATGTTTTTCATTAATTTATTAATATAATATAAATTAAATGTGATTCAGGATCCTGACAAGTCTAAAGAAGTTAATAATGAAACTGAAAATACTGAAAAAACTGCTGAAGTTAAATCTGAAGAAAAAAAAGATCCCACCGTAGTTATTAAAATAGAAAATAATATCTCATCTGAATCTGAGAAAAATGATGAAGTTGCTATAGTGGTTAGTATTTATAAAATTTGCTATTATTTCATAGAAACGTATGATTATATTAAAGTATGTAAATAAATAATAGTTATTTTATTTATTTAATTTGTAATCAGTTATGATGAAATCATATGACTTTGAATCCATTTGATCAATATTTTGCTAGATAGTATCTGAACTGATGATGTTAATTGCTTATATTGAAGCAAATTTCTGTTTACATTAAACTTCTTTAATTATACCTTCAAAATGATCCTATAGCATAAATTTGGATGCATTGATATAAGGTATAGATTCTTAAAAAAAGAAATGATCATACTATTAAATAGAAGGTATTATTTTGAATAAGCTTTAATCAGACATGATGAAATCTTTTAACATTGAATTTAATTTGATGATCTTTACTTGCTAGATAGTATCTGAACTGATAAAATATGTACTATAGTAGTATAATACCATTTATATTATCCAGTGGTAAGTAAAATTAAGCTAATATTTAAATAACATAATTACAGTTTGAATCATATTAATTTTAATTGACCAGTATTAGTGATAGGCAGTTGACAAGAAAATGGAGCATAGATGAGTATGGTGGTTTAATGGATGAGTAGAGTGACTAGAATAAATAGTATTAAGAATGAACATATAAGAGAGTATAGGTGTAACATCAATTGTGGATAAGATGAGAGAAAATATACTTAAAAGGTTAGGTCATGTCATGAGGAGAGGAGAATTGGAAGCTGTAAGAACAGTTATAGTATGAATTTTGAGGCAAAATGAGGTAGAGGAAGATCAAAAAAGATAGAGAGAAGCTATTGAATGCGATATGAGGACTGCTGATATAGGAGATTGTGGCTAGTGGAAATGTACGATAAGTGGGTACGATAACTACAAGTAGTTGGTATTAAGAAAAAGAATTGACCATTATCATATATTATAATAAAAGGCTGAATTTCATTTTTATATTAATTTTTAATCCAAAAATTTATGACTATTGTTTGAATCTATCGATTTTGAATATATGATTAAAAAAAGAATAATTGTCGTTTTAAAAATACTTAATAATTTTTTTCTTAAAAAGTACTTTGGAAAATAATTTTTTGTTAATAGTATCTGAGTTAGAATGACATAAGATGGTAACTATATTATAATTTATAAAATGTTTTTATCATTGTATGTTATCTAATTACATACATTATACACACCCCACAAAAACATCTTCAAAAATATTAGAGCTTATTAGCTTCGATGCGAAGCTGAGAAGGTATTGATTTTACTATGATGTGTTTTTTTTTTTTTTTTTTTTTTTTTTTTTTTTTTTTTTTTT